ATGCTGTCAGTCACTCACTCATGCTGTCAGTCAGTCACTCACTCACTCATGCTGTCAGTCACTCACTCACTCATGCTGTCACTCACTCACTCACTCATGCTGTCACTCACTCACTCACTCATGCTGTCAGTCACTCACTCACTCATGCTGTCAGTCACTCACTCACTCATGCTGTCAGTCACTCACTCACCCATGCTGTCACTCACTCACTCACTCATGCTGTGAGTCACTCACTCACTCACTCATGCTGTGAGTCACTCACTCACTCACTCATGCTGTCAGTCAGTCACTCACTCATGCTGTCAGTCACTCACTCACTCATGCTGTCAGTCACTCACTCACTCATGCTGTATGTCACTCACTCACTCATGCTGTCAGTCACTCACTCACTCATGCTGTCAGTCACTCACTCACTCATGCTGTCTGTCACTCACTCACTCATGCTGTCAGTCACTCACTCACTCATGCTGTCAGTCACTCACTCACTCATGCTGTCAGTCACTCACTCACTCATGCTGTCAGTCAGTCACTCACTCACTCATGGTGTCAGTCACTCACTCTCTCATGCTGTCAGTCACTCACTCACTCATGCTGTCAGTCACTCACTCACTCATGCTGTCAGTCACTCACTCACTCATGCTGTCAGTCACTCACTCACTCATGCTGTCAGTCACTCACTTACTCATGCTGTCAGTCACTCACTCACTCATGCTGTCACTCACTCACTCACTCATGCTGTCAGTCACTCACTCACTCATGCTGTCTGTCACTCACTCACTCATGCTCTCAGTCACTCACTCACTCATGCTGTCAGTCACTCACTCACTCATGCTGTATGTCACTCACTCACTCATGCTGTCAGTCACTCACTCACTCATGCTGTCAGTCACTCACTCACTCATGCTGTCTGTCACTCACTCACTCATGCTGTCAGTCACTCACTCACTCATGCTGTCAGTCACTCACTCACTCATGCTGTCAGTCACTCACTCACTCATGCTGTCAGTCAGTCACTCACTCACTCATGGTGTCAGTCACTCACTCTCTCATGCTGTCAGTCACTCACTCACTCATGCTGTCAGTCACTCACTCACTCATGCTGTCAGTCACTCACTCACTCATGCTGTCAGTCACTCACTCACTAATGGTGTCAGTTACTCACTCACTCATGCTGTCAGTCACTCACTCACTCATGCTGTCAGTCAGTCACTCACTCACTTATGCTGTCAGTTACTCACTCACTCATGCTGTCAGTCACTCACTCACTCATGCTGTCACTCACTCACTCACTCGCTCATGCTGTGAGTCACTCATGCTGTCAGTCACTCACTCATGCTGTCAGTCAGTCACTCACTCACTCATGCTGTCAGTCACTCACTCACTCATGCTGTCACTCACTCACTCACTCATGCTGTCACTCACTCACTCACTCATGCTGTCAGTCACTCACTCACTCATGCTGTCAGTCACTCACTCACTCATGCTGTCAGTCACTCACTCACCCATGCTGTCACTCACTCACTCACTCACTCATGCTGTGAGTCACTCACTCACTCACTCATGCTGTCAGTCAGTCACTCACTCATGCTGTCAGTCACTCACTCACTCATGCTGTCAGTCACTCACTCACTAATGGTGTCAGTTACTCACTCACTCATGCTGTCAGTCACTCACTCACTCATGCTGTCAGTCAGTCACTCACTCACTTATGCTGTCAGTTACTCACTCACTCATGCTGTCAGTCACTCACTCACTCATGCTGTCACTCACTCACTCACTCGCTCATGCTGTGAGTCACTCATGCTGTCAGTCACTCACTCATGCTGTCAGTCAGTCACTCACTCACTCATGCTGTCAGTCACTCACTCACTCATGCTGTCAGTCACTCACTCACTCATGCTGTCAGTCAGTCACTCACTCACTCATGGTGTCAGTCACTCACTCTCTCATGCTGTCAGTCACTCACTCACTCATGCTGTCAGTCACTCACTCACTCATGCTGTCAGTCACTCACTCACTCATGCTGTCAGTCACTCACTCACTCATGCTGTCAGTCACTCACTTACTCATGCTGTCAGTCACTCACTCACTCATGCTGTCACTCACTCACTCACTCATGCTGTCAGTCACTCACTCACTCATGCTGTCTGTCACTCACTCACTCATGCTCTCAGTCACTCACTCACTCATGCTGTCAGTCACTCACTCACTCATGCTGTATGTCACTCACTCACTCATGCTGTCAGTCACTCACTCACTCATGCTGTCAGTCACTCACTCACTCATGCTGTCTGTCACTCACTCACTCATGCTGTCAGTCACTCACTCACTCATGCTGTCAGTCACTCACTCACTCATGCTGTCAGTCACTCACTCACTCATGCTGTCAGTCAGTCACTCACTCACTCATGGTGTCAGTCACTCACTCTCTCATGCTGTCAGTCACTCACTCACTCATGCTGTCAGTCACTCACTCACTCATGCTGTCAGTCACTCACTCACTCATGCTGTCAGTCACTCACTCACTAATGGTGTCAGTTACTCACTCACTCATGCTGTCAGTCACTCACTCACTCATGCTGTCAGTCAGTCACTCACTCACTTATGCTGTCAGTTACTCACTCACTCATGCTGTCAGTCACTCACTCACTCATGCTGTCACTCACTCACTCACTCGCTCATGCTGTGAGTCACTCATGCTGTCAGTCACTCACTCATGCTGTCAGTCAGTCACTCACTCACTCATGCTGTCAGTCACTCACTCACTCATGCTGTCACTCACTCACTCACTCATGCTGTCACTCACTCACTCACTCATGCTGTCAGTCACTCACTCACTCATGCTGTCAGTCACTCACTCACTCATGCTGTCAGTCACTCACTCACCCATGCTGTCACTCACTCACTCACTCACTCATGCTGTGAGTCACTCACTCACTCACTCATGCTGTCAGTCAGTCACTCACTCATGCTGTCAGTCACTCACTCACTCATGCTGTCAGTCACTCACTCACTAATGGTGTCAGTTACTCACTCACTCATGCTGTCAGTCACTCACTCACTCATGCTGTCAGTCAGTCACTCACTCACTTATGCTGTCAGTTACTCACTCACTCATGCTGTCAGTCACTCACTCACTCATGCTGTCACTCACTCACTCACTCGCTCATGCTGTGAGTCACTCATGCTGTCAGTCACTCACTCATGCTGTCAGTCAGTCACTCACTCACTCATGCTGTCAGTCACTCACTCACTCATGCTGTCACTCACTCACTCACTCATGCTGTCACTCACTCACTCACTCATGCTGTCAGTCACTCACTCACTCATGCTGTCAGTCACTCACTCACTCATGCTGTCAGTCACTCACTCACCCATGCTGTCACTCACTCACTCACTCACTCATGCTGTGAGTCACTCACTCACTCACTCATGCTGTCAGTCAGTCACTCACTCATGCTGTCAGTCACTCACTCACTCATGCTGTCAGTCACTCACTCTCTCATGCTGTCAGTCAGTCACTCACTCACTCATGCTGTGAGTCACTCACTCACTCATGCTGTCAGTCACTCACTCACTCATGCTATCAGTCACTCACTCACTCATGCTGTCAGTCACTCACTCACTCATGCTGTCAGTCAGTCACTCACTCACTCATGCGGTCAGTCACTCACTCACTCATGCTGTCAGTCACTCACTCACTCATGCTGTCAGTCACTCACTCATGCTGTCAGTCACTCACTCACTCATGCTGTCAGTCACTCACTCACTCATGCTGTCAGTCACTCACTCACTCATGCTGTCAGTCACTCACTCACCCATGCTGTCACTCACTCACTCATGCTGTGAGTCACTCACTCACTCATGTTGTCAGTCACTCACTCACTCATGCTGTCAGTCACTCACTCACTCATGCTGTCAGTCACTCACTCACTCATGCTGTCAGTCACTCACTCACTCATGCTATCAGTCACTCACTCACTCATGCTGTCAGTCACTCACTCACCCATGCTGTCACTCACTCACTCATTCATGCTGTGAGTCACTCACTCACTCACTCATGCTGTCAGTCAGTCACTCACTCATGCTGTCAGTCACTCACTCACTCATGCTGTCAGTCACTCACTCACTCATGCTGTGAGTCACTCACTCACTCACTCATGCTGTGAGTCACTCACTCACTCATGCTGTCAGTCACTCACTCACTCATGCTGTCAGTCAATCACTCACTCATGCTGTCAGTCAGTCACTCACTCACTCATGCTGTCAGTCACTCACTCACTCATGCTGTCAGTCACTCACTCACTCATGCTGTCAGTCACTCACTCACTCATGCTGTCAGTCACTCACTCACTCATGCTGTCAGTCACTCACTCACTCATGCTGTCACTCACTCACTGACCCATGCTGTCACTCACTCACTCATGCTGTGAGTCACTCACTCACTCACTCATGTTGTCACTCACTCACTCACTCATGCTGTCAGTCACTCACTCACTCATGCTGTCAGTCAGTCACTCACTCACTCATGCTGTGAGTCACTCACTCACTCATGCTGTCAGTCACTCACTCACTCATGCTGTCAGTCACTCACTCACTCATGCTGTCAGTCACTCACTCACTCATGCTGTCAGTCACTCACTCATGCTGTAAGTCACTCACTCACTCATGCTGTCAGTCACTCACTCACTCATGCTGTCACTCACTCACTCACTCATGCTGTTAGTCACTCACTCACTCACTCATGCTGTCAGTCACTCACTCTCTCACTCACTCATGCTGTCAGTCACTCACTCACTCACTCATGCTGTCAGTCACTCACTCACTCATGCTGTCACTCACTCACTCACTCATGCTGTCAGTCACTCACTCACTCATGCTGTCAGTCACTCACTCACTCATGGTGTGGGTCACTCACTCACTCACTCATGCTGCCAGTCACTCACTCACTCATGCTGTCACTCACTCACTCACTCATGCTCTCAGTCACTCACTGACTCATGCTGTGGGTCACTCACTCACTCACTCATGCTGTCACTCACTCACTCACTCATGCTATCAGTCACTCACTCACTCATGCTGTCAGTCAGTCACTCACTCATGCTGTCAGTCACTCACTCACTCATGCTGTCAGTCACTCACTCACTCATGCTGTCACTCACTCATGCTGTCAGTCACTCACTCACTCATGCAGTCAGTCACTCACTCACTCATGCAGTCACTCACTCACTCACTCATGCTGTCAGTCAGTCACTCACTCACTCATGCTGTCAGTCACTCACTCACTCACTCATGCTGTCAGTCACTCACTCACTCATGCTGTCACTCACTCACTCACTCATGCTGTCAGTCACGCACTCACTCATGCTGTCAGTCACTCACTCACTCATGCTGTGGGTCACTCACTCACTCACTCATGCTGCCAGTCACTCACTCACTCATGCTGTCACTCACTCACTCACTCATGCTCTCAGTCACTCACTCACTCATGCTGTGGGTCACTCACTCACTCACTCATGCTGTCAGTCACTCACTCACTCATGCTGTCACTCACTCACTCACTCATGCTCTCAGTCACTCACTCACTCATGCTGTTAGTCACTCACTCACTCATGCTGTCAGTCACTCACTCACTCATGCTGTCAGTCACTCACTCACTCATGCTGTCACTCACTCACTCATGCTGTCAGTCACTCACTCACTCATGCTGTCAGTCACTTACTCACTCATGCTGTCACTCACTCACTCACTCATGCTGTCAGTCACTCACTCACTCATGCTGTCACTCACTCACTCACTCATGCTGTCAGTCACTCACTCACTCACTCATGCTGTCAGTCACTCACTCACTCACTCATGCTGTCAGTCACTCACTCACTCACTCATGCTGTCAGTCACTCACTCACTCACTCATGCTGTCAGTCACTCACTCACTCATGCCGTGGGTCACTCACTCACTCACTCATGCTGCCAGTCACTCACTCACTCATGCTGTCACTCACTCACTCACTCATGCTCTCAGTCACTCACTGACTCATGCTGTGGGTCACTCACTCACTCACTCATGCTGTCAGTCACTCACTCACTCATGCTGTCACTCACTCACTCACTCATGCTGTCAGTCACTCACTCACTCATGCTGTCAGTCAGTCACTCACTCATGCTGTCAGTCACTCACTCACTCATGCTGTCAGTCACTCAGTCACTCATGCTGTCACTCACTCACTCATGCTGTCAGTCACTCACTCACTCATGCTGTCAGTCACTCACTCACTCATGCAGTCACTCACTCACTCACTCACTCATGCTGTCAGTCACTCACTCACTCACTCATGCTGACAGTCACTCACTCACTCATGCTGTCAGTCACTCACTCACTCATGCTGTCACTCACTCACTCATGCTGTCAGTCACGCACTCACTCATGCTGTCAGTCACTCACTCACTCATGCTGTGGGTCACTCACTCACTCACTCATGCTGCCAGTCACTCACTCACTCATGCTGTCACTCACTCACTCACTCACTCATGCTCTCAGTCACTCACTCACTCATGCTGTGGGTCACTCACTCACTCACTCATGCTGTCAGTCACTCACACACTCATGCTGTCACTCACTCACTCACTCATGCTCTCAGTCACTCACTCACTCATGCTGTCAGTCACTCACTCACTCATGCTGTCAGTCACTCACTCACTCATGCTGTCAGTCACTCACTCACTCATGCTGTCACTCACTCACTCATGCTGTCAGTCACTCACTCACTCATGCTGTCAGTCACTCACTCACTCATGCTGTCACTCACTCACTCACTCATGCTGTCAGTCACTCACTCACTCACTCATGCTGTCAGTCACTCACTCACTCATGCTGTCACTCACTCACTCACTCATGCTCTCAGTCACTCACTGATTCATGCTGTGGGTCACTCACTCACTCACTCATGCTGTCACTCACTCACTCACTCATGCTATCAGTCACTCACTCACTCATGCTGTCAGTCAGTCACTCACTCATGCTGTCAGTCACTCACTCACTCATGCTGTCAGTCACTCACTCACTCATGCTGTCACTCACTCACTCATGCTGTCAGTCACTCACTCACTCATGCAGTCAGTCACTCACTCACTCATGCAGTCACTCACTCACTCACTCATGCTGTCAGTCAGTCACTCACTCACTCATGCTGTCAGTCACTCACTCACTCACTCATGCTGTCAGTCACTCACTCACTCATGCTGTCACTCACTCACTCACTCATGCTGTCAGTCATGCACTCACTCATGCTGTCAGTCACTCACTCACTCATGCTGTGGGTCACTCACTCACTCACTCATGCTGCCAGTCACTCACTCACTCATGCTGTCACTCACTCACTCACTCATGCTCTCAGTCACTCACTCACTCATGCTGTGGGTCACTCACTCACTCACTCATGCTGTCAGTCACTCACTCACTCATGCTGTCACTCACTCACTCACTCATGCTCTCAGTCACTCACTCACTCATGCTGTTAGTCACTCACTCACTCATGCTGTCAGTCACTCACTCACTCATGCTGTCAGTCACTCACTCACTCATGCTGTCACTCACTCACTCATGCTGTCAGTCACTCACTCACTCATGCTGTCAGTCACTTACTCACTCATGCTGTCACTCACTCACTCACTCATGCTGTCAGTCACTCACTCACTCATGCTGTCAGTCACTCACTCACTCATGCTGTCAGTCACTCACTCACTCACTCATGCTGTCAGTCACTCACTCACTCACTCATGCTGTCAGTCACTCACTCACTCATGCCGTGGGTCACTCACTCACTCACTCATGCTGCCAGTCACTCACTCACTCATGCTGTCACTCACTCACTCACTCATGCTCTCAGTCACTCACTGACTCATGCTGTGGGTCACTCACTCACTCACTCATGCTGTCAGTCACTCACTCACTCATGCTGTCACTCACTCACTCACTCATGCTGTCAGTCACTCACTCACTCATGCTGTCAGTCAGTCACTCACTCATGCTGTCAGTCACTCACTCACTCATGCTGTCAGTCACTCAGTCACTCATGCTGTCACTCACTCACTCATGCTGTCAGTCACTCACTCACTCATGCTGTCAGTCACTCACTCACTCATGCAGTCACTCACTCACTCACTCACTCATGCTGTCAGTCACTCACTCACTCACTCATGCTGACAGTCACTCACTCACTCATGCTGTCAGTCACTCACTCACTCATGCTGTCACTCACTCACTCATGCTGTCAGTCACGCACTCACTCATGCTGTCAGTCACTCACTCACTCATGCTGTGGGTCACTCACTCACTCACTCATGCTGCCAGTCACTCACTCACTCATGCTGTCACTCACTCACTCACTCACTCATGCTCTCAGTCACTCACTCACTCATGCTGTGGGTCACTCACTCACTCACTCATGCTGTCAGTCACTCACACACTCATGCTGTCACTCACTCACTCACTCATGCTCTCAGTCACTCACTCACTCATGCTGTCAGTCACTCACTCACTCATGCTGTCAGTCACTCACTCACTCATGCTGTCAGTCACTCACTCACTCATGCTGTCACTCACTCACTCATGCTGTCAGTCACTCACTCACTCATGCTGTCAGTCACTCACTCACTCATGCTGTCACTCACTCACTCACTCATGCTGTCAGTCACTCACTCACTCACTCATGCTGTCAGTCACTCACTCACTCACTCATGCTGTCAGTCACTCACTCACTCACTCATGCTGTCAGTCACTCACTCACTCACTCATGCTGTCAGTCACTCACTCACTCATGCTGTGGGTCACTCACTCACTCACTCATGCTGCCAGTCACTCACTCACTCATGCTGTCACTCACTCACTCACTCATGCTGTCACTCACTCACTCACTCATGCTATCAGTCACTCACTCACTCATGCTGTCAGTCACTCACTGACTCATGCTGTGGGTCACTCACTCACTCACTCATGCTGTCAGTCACTCACTCACTCATGCTGTCACTCACTCACTCACTCATGCTGTCAGTCACTCACTCACTCATGCTGTCAGTCACTCACTCACTCATGCTGTCACTCACTCATGCTGTCAGTCACTCACTCACTCATGCTGTCAGTCACTCACTCACTCATGCAGTCACTCACTCACTCACTCATGCTGTCAGTCACTCACTCACTCACTCATGCTGTCAGTCACTCACTCACTCACTCATGCTGTCAGTCACTCACTCACTCATGCTGTCACTCACTCACTCACTCATGCTGTCAGTCACGCACTCACTCATGCTGTCAGTCACTCACTCACTCATGCTGTGGGTCACTCACTCACTCACTCATGCTGCCAGTCACTCACTCACTCATGCTGTCACTCACTCACTCACTCATGCTCTCAGTTACTCACTCACTCATGCTGTGGGTCACTCACTCACTCACTCATGCTGTGAGTCACTCACTCACTCATGCTGTCACTCACTCACTCACTCACTCATGCTGTCAGTCTCTCACTCACTCATGCTGTGAGTCACTCATTCACTCATGCTGTCAGTCACTCACTCTCTCATGTTGTCAGTCAGTCACTCACTCACTCATGCTGTTAGTCAGTCACTGACTCATGTTGTCACTCACTCACTCACTCATGCTGTGAGTCACTCACTCACTCACTCATGCTGTCAGTCAGTCACTCACTCATGCTGTCAGTCACTCACTCACTCATGCTGTCAGTCACTCACTCACTCATGCTGTCAGTCAGTCACTCACTCACTCACGCTGTGAGTTACTCACTCACTCATGCTGTCAGTCACTCACTCACTCATGCTGTCACTCACTCACTCACTCATGCTGTCAGTCACTCACTCACTCATGCTGTCAGTCACTCAATCACTCATGCTGTCAGTCACTCACCCACTCATGCTGTCAGTCACTCACTCACTCACGCTGTGAGTTACTCACTCACTCATGCTGTCAGTCACTCACTCACTCATGCTGTCACTCACTCACTCATGCTGTCAGTCACTCACTCACTCATGCTGTCAGTCACTCACTCACTCATGCTGTCACTCACTCACTCACTCATGCTGTCAGTCACTCACTCACTCACTCATGCTGTCAGTCACTCACTCACTCATGCTGTCACTCACTCACTCACTCATGCTCTCAGTCACTCACTGATTCATGCTGTGGGTCACTCACTCACTCACTCATGCTGTCACTCACTCACTCACTCATGCTATCAGTCACTCACTCACTCATGCTGTCAGTCAGTCACTCACTCATGCTGTCAGTCACTCACTCACTCATGCTGTCAGTCACTCACTCACTCATGCTGTCACTCACTCACTCATGCTGTCAGTCACTCACTCACTCATGCAGTCAGTCACTCACTCACTCATGCAGTCACTCACTCACTCACTCATGCTGTCAGTCAGTCACTCACTCACTCATGCTGTCAGTCACTCACTCACTCACTCATGCTGTCAGTCACTCACTCACTCATGCTGTCACTCACTCACTCACTCATGCTGTCAGTCATGCACTCACTCATGCTGTCAGTCACTCACTCACTCATGCTGTGGGTCACTCACTCACTCACTCATGCTGCCAGTCACTCACTCACTCATGCTGTCACTCACTCACTCACTCATGCTCTCAGTCACTCACTCACTCATGCTGTGGGTCACTCACTCACTCACTCATGCTGTCAGTCACTCACTCACTCATGCTGTCACTCACTCACTCACTCATGCTCTCAGTCACTCACTCACTCATGCTGTTAGTCACTCACTCACTCATGCTGTCAGTCACTCACTCACTCATGCTGTCAGTCACTCACTCACTCATGCTGTCACTCACTCACTCATGCTGTCAGTCACTCACTCACTCATGCTGTCAGTCACTTACTCACTCATGCTGTCACTCACTCACTCACTCATGCTGTCAGTCACTCACTCACTCATGCTGTCACTCACTCACTCACTCATGCTGTCAGTCACTCACTCACTCACTCATGCTGTCAGTCACTCACTCACTCACTCATGCTGTCAGTCACTCACTCACTCACTCATGCTGTCAGTCACTCACTCACTCATGCCGTGGGTCACTCACTCACTCACTCATGCTGCCAGTCACTCACTCACTCATGCTGTCACTCACTCACTCACTCATGCTCTCAGTCACTCACTGACTCATGCTGTGGGTCACTCACTCACTCACTCATGCTGTCAGTCACTCACTCACTCATGCTGTCACTCACTCACTCACTCATGCTGTCAGTCACTCACTCACTCATGCTGTCAGTCAGTCACTCACTCATGCTGTCAGTCACTCACTCACTCATGCTGTCAGTCACTCAGTCACTCATGCTGTCACTCACTCACTCATGCTGTCAGTCACTCACTCACTCATGCTGTCAGTCACTCACTCACTCATGCAGTCACTCACTCACTCACTCACTCATGCTGTCAGTCACTCACTCACTCACTCATGCTGACAGTCACTCACTCACTCATGCTGTCAGTCACTCACTCACTCATGCTGTCACTCACTCACTCATGCTGTCAGTCACGCACTCACTCATGCTGTCAGTCACTCACTCACTCATGCTGTGGGTCACTCACTCACTCACTCATGCTGCCAGTCACTCACTCACTCATGCTGTCACTCACTCACTCACTCACTCATGCTCTCAGTCACTCACTCACTCATGCTGTGGGTCACTCACTCACTCACTCATGCTGTCAGTCACTCACACACTCATGCTGTCACTCACTCACTCACTCATGCTCTCAGTCACTCACTCACTCATGCTGTCAGTCACTCACTCACTCATGCTGTCAGTCACTCACTCACTCATGCTGTCAGTCACTCACTCACTCATGCTGTCACTCACTCACTCATGCTGTCAGTCACTCACTCACTCATGCTGTCAGTCACTCACTCACTCATGCTGTCACTCACTCACTCACTCATGCTGTCAGTCACTCACTCACTCACTCATGCTGTCAGTCACTCACTCACTCACTCATGCTGTCAGTCACTCACTCACTCACTCATGCTGTCAGTCACTCACTCACTCACTCATGCTGTCAGTCACTCACTCACTCATGCTGTGGGTCACTCACTCACTCACTCATGCTGCCAGTCACTCACTCACTCATGCTGTCACTCACTCACTCACTCATGCTGTCACTCACTCACTCACTCATGCTATCAGTCACTCACTCACTCATGCTGTCAGTCACTCACTGACTCATGCTGTGGGTCACTCACTCACTCACTCATGCTGTCAGTCACTCACTCACTCATGCTGTCACTCACTCACTCACTCATGCTGTCAGTCACTCACTCACTCATGCTGTCAGTCACTCACTCACTCATGCTGTCACTCACTCATGCTGTCAGTCACTCACTCACTCATGCTGTCAGTCACTCACTCACTCATGCAGTCACTCACTCACTCACTCATGCTGTCAGTCACTCACTCACTCACTCATGCTGTCAGTCACTCACTCACTCACTCATGCTGTCAGTCACTCACTCACTCATGCTGTCACTCACTCACTCACTCATGCTGTCAGTCACGCACTCACTCATGCTGTCAGTCACTCACTCACTCATGCTGTGGGTCACTCACTCACTCACTCATGCTGCCAGTCACTCACTCACTCATGCTGTCACTCACTCACTCACTCATGCTCTCAGTTACTCACTCACTCATGCTGTGGGTCACTCACTCACTCACTCATGCTGTGAGTCACTCACTCACTCATGCTGTCACTCACTCACTCACTCACTCATGCTGTCAGTCACTCACTCACTCATGCTGTCAGTCAGTCACTCACTCACTCACGCTGTGAGTTACTCACTCACTCATGCTGTCAGTCACTCACTCACTCATGCTGTCACTCACTCACTCACTCATGCTGTCAGTCACTCACTCACTCATGCTGTCAGTCACTCAATCACTCATGCTGTCAGTCACTCACTCACTCATGCTGTCACTCACTCACTCACTCATGCTGTCAGTCACTCACTCACTCATGCTGTCAGTCACTCACTCACTCATGCTGTCACTCACTCACTCACTCACTCATGCTGTCAGTCACTCACTCACTCATGCTGTCAGACACTCACTCACTCATGCTGTCACTCACTCACTCACTCACTCATGCTATCAATCACTCACTCACTCATGCTCTCAGTCACTCACTCACTCATGCTGTCAGTCACTCACTCACTCATGCTGTGAGTCACTCACTCACTCACTCATGCTGGGAGTCACTCACTCACTCACTCATGCTGTCAGTCACTCTCTCACTCATGCTGTCAGTCACTCACTCACTCATGCTGTCAGTCACTCACTCACTCATGCTGTCAGTCACTCACTCACTCACTCACTCATGCTGTCAGTCAGTCACTCACTCACTCATGCTGTCACTCACTCACTCACTCATGCTGTCACTCACTCACTCACTCATGCTGTCAGTCAGTCACTCACTCATGCTGTCAGTCACTCACTCACTCATGCTGTGAGTCACTCACTCACTCATGCTGTCAGTCACTCACTCACTCATTCATGCTGTCACTCATTCACTCACTCATGCTGTCACTCACTCACTCACTCATGCTGTCAGTCACCATGGGGGGCAAGGCCCAGGAGGGGCAAGATTGTTGAGTGAGTAGCGCGGTCGAGGGCCTTAGTGAAAATGTCGGCGGGGTTGGAGGATGAGTCGATCTTGCGCACGGTGATGTGGCCATCCTGGACAAGGTTGCGGACGAAGTAGTGTCGGAGCTCGATATGCTTGGAGCGACCATGGAAGACAGCTTCTTTGGTGAGGTGGATGGTGCTAGCGTTGTCACACCAGAGGGTGGGACATGGTTGTGGTGAGCCAAGGTCTGTGAGGAGATAGCTGAGCCAGCGTGCTTCCTGTGCCGCCATCGTGACCGCGTATAGTTCGGCTTCGCAGGAGGAGAGGGCGATGGAGGAGGAGCGGGTGGAGCGCCAGCTGATGAGGCCGCTCCCAAGGGAGAAACCATATCCCTGTGAGCTGCGACGGTCAGGTTGTGAATCTGCCCAGGACGAGTCGCTGAAGCCAGTGAGAACCGGCGGGTCCGCTCCACCAAGGGTGAGAGAGTAATTCTTCGTATGCTGAAGGTAGCGTAGGACACGCCGGGCCGCCGTCATGTGTTCCTCCGTGTGCCTGCCGACACCAACGAACCGCGCCAGAACACTGACTGGGTAGGCAAGGTCGGGGCGGGTGCAGACCATGGCATACATCAGGGCCCCGACAAGCTCTGCATAGGGGTTCGAGGAGTCGGTGGGGGTGGCAGGGGGCGAGAGCTGATGCCCAACTGCAAGCGGAGTGGCGATGGGCTTGGCTTTGGACATTCCAAACCTCTCAAGGACCTTCTCAATGTAGAAGGACTGAGAGAGGGAGATAGTCTTAGCCTTGAGGTCGCGGGTGATCTCCATGCCAAGGTAGTTGCGGACCTCCCCCAGGTCTTTGCAGGCGAGTCGACGCTGTAGTTCGTCCTTGACCTCCTGCATCTCAGCATCTGTGTCGGCAGCTAGTAGCATGTCGTCGACGTAAACAAGAATGTAGAAAGGGGACGGAGCCGTCCGAAGGAAGAGGCTGGAGGCAGCTCGGGAGGGGCGAAAACCAAGCTCGCGAAGGGTGGAAGAGAGCTTGGCATGCCACTCCCGGGGTGCCTGCTTGAGGTCGTAGACGGGCCGCAGCAGCTTCCAAACGGTGGACGGGTCATGTGGAGCGTGAAAGCCTTTGGGGCGTTCCATGAAGATGAGTTCGTGTAGGTCGCCTTGGAGGAAGGCGGTAGTGACATCCATGGAGTGCAGCAGCATGCCGCGTCTGCCGACGAAGTCGAGGAACACCCGAACGACCGGTGGGGTAGCAGTGGGTGAGTATGTTTCGAAGAAGTCAAAGCCGTGCTTCTGCGTGAAGCCCTTCGCCACATAGCGAGCTTTGTAGACAGGGTCTTCGCCAGGGAGAAGCTTGACACGGAAGAGCCATTTGCCCTTGACGACATTGGTCTTGGCAGGGCGAGGGACGTCGATGAAGGAGCGGTTGTGGATGAAGGCGTTGCTCTCCTTGACCATGGCTTCAATCTAGAGCGGTGCGTCGAGGCAGGCAATAGCCTCCTCATACGTGGTGGGTTCGAAGATGGTGGGGGTGCCCGAGAAAAGAAGAACTGGAGTGCCCGCCATGGTGCGGACGATGGGGGCGATGGAGGGCGCGAGGAGGTGGAGGAAGAGGAGTTCGTCGTGGGTGTCTTCATAGAGGAGAGGAGAGAGAGGAGGAGGTAGAGGGGGTGGTGAAGATGCAAGACAGCTGCGCTGGAGGTCGAATCTGAGACATGGAAGTGCTGCTGCTCGGCTGCGTGGTGGTGCAGTCAGGAGCGCGGAGCGGTTGCGCAGTGGATCTGGAGTGAGGGGGCTGAAGCGGGGGGGGAGGGGAGTACCGGTGAGGGCGAGGAGGGAGGGGGGGGAAGTCTGTGGGGAACCAAGGATGGGGTCCAGGGAGCGGGTGTGGGGATAGCGGGGAAGGACAAGGGTAGGGGAGGGGCGCCGGGGAAGGGGGGGGGGGAGGTGGAGGGGGGGGCGGATTAGAGGAGGGGAGGGGGGGAGGGAGGGGAAGGGGGCGGGGGAGGTGGAGTAGGGGGAGGAGGAGGAGGAAGGTGAGTTGCAGCGGAAGGTGAGGTAGTGGAGTGGGAGGGGGAGGGGGGGGGTGGGTTAAGGATGTCGCCGGAGGAGCTGGAGGAGAGGGGAGCGGGGGGGAGGGGTGGAGGAGGGGGGGGAGGGGTCATGGCAGGGGACGGGAGGAGGGGCAGTGTGTCAGTCCAGAGAAGGGGCCGGGGAAATGGGGGAAGGGGGTTAGGGGCGGAGGAAGAGGTGTAGTACGGGGTGGCCTCGTCAAAGACCACGTCCCGACTACGGATGAGGCGGCCTGAGGGGGGGTGGAGGAAAAGGTAGTCAGGTGAGGTGGTGTTGTGTCCAAGGTAGACACAGGGGAGAGTGCGAGACGCAAGCTTTCCACGTGCGCGTGGGCGGTCGGCAGGGTGTATGAGGACATGCGCCTTGCAACCCCACACGCGCAGAGGGGATATGTCAGGCTTGCTGGAGGTCCATAGTTCGGTGGGGGTGGAGGTGGGACGAGAGGGGTGGGGGTAGAGGTTAGTGAGGATGGCAGCGTGAAGGATGGCATAGCCCCAAAGAGAAGGTGGGCAGGAGGCGTGAACGAGGAGGCACCGAGCAGTTTTGGTGATCTCCCGAACGCGGCTCTCCGCCATACCATTCTGCTGAGGGGAGTGAGGGAGAGTGTAGGTGTGGAGGATGCCGTGAGAGGTGCAGTAGGAGGACAGGGTGCGGTTGAGGAACTCACCGCCTCCATCGGAATGGAAGCGGCGAACAGGGCGACCGAAGTGGTTGCGTGCTTGTTCAGCCCAGGCAGTGATGGCAGCCGGGGCCTCCGCCTTCGTACGAAGGAGGGTGACGGAGGAGTATCGACTGTGATCATCCACCAGGATGAGGAGGTAGCGATGTCCTTGCCTGGTGGGGGAAGGGTTGGGGCCCCAAAGGTCCATGTGGACGAGGTCAAGGGGTTGGAGGGAAAAGGAGGGGTTACTCGTATGTGGTTGTTGCTTCAGCTTGCTTTCAACACAAACTGAGCAAGGAGGGGAGGGGGAAGGAGGGAGGGGGGGAAGGGTAAGGGGGAGGCCGTCAAGGAGTTTATTGAGGATGGATCGGCGAAGGGTGGCAAAGTTGGGATGGCCGAGGCGATGGTGGAGGAGAATGGTGGGGTGTGTGAGATCACGACAGTGACAGGGGGAGGGTGGGTTAGATGCGGGGGGAGGGGAAGGGGCGGGGGGAGGGGGAGGGGGAGGGGGAGGGGGAGGGGGAGGGGGAGGGGGAGGGGGGAGTTCGAGAGGAGGGGAAGGGGCGGGGGGATGGGGTGTGGAGAGTTGGTGAAGGGTGGGACGGGGGATGCGGAAGGTGTACATGTGGGTGGAGGGGCACCGATGGACACGGCAGAGGAAGCGACCGGAGGAGGTGTGAAATAAGTCGCAATATGCTTTGTGACCAGGGAATATGGCGGTGACACCTGAGTCGGAGAGGGCACCAAGGGATACCAAGTTGTTCCGAAGGGAGGGGATATAGAGACCTGTGACAGTACCTGAGGGAAAGAGGGGACAAGGGAGTGTGGAGGTGTAACGGCTTTGTATCGCAAAGCTGGAGTCAGCCCCAAGTATTGTGGAGGGGGTGGAGAGGGGGAGGAGCGTGCCTGCGTCACGAAGGACCGTGTGCGTGGCTCCGCTATCAAGGATGAACTCAAGGGGCTTTGAGGAGGAGGGGGACTCGGAGTACTGGAATGAGGACTCATTAATAGCATTGGCATACATAGGATCATTGCAAGAGCTAGCAGTGGTGACATGACCTATGAAACCCGTGGAAGGAAACGGTGTGAAGCCGGGGGGGTGAGAGGGGGAGGTGGGTAGTTCAGCAGGTGCAGCAGTTGCAGCAGTTGCAGCAGTTGCAGCTGTCCCATGGCCATACAGAGATGGGGGGTAGGGAGGGTAGGGCCAGCCAGCGTAAGGAGGAGGATAAGGGGAGAGAGGAGGATAGGGGGAGGGAGGGGTTTGAGGTGCGAGGGTGGGTGTGGTGAGGGTGGGAGGCGTTGGGGTGGTGGTGGGTGTGGGGAGGAGGTGTTGGACTTGCTGGAGGACGTGAGGGGAGAGGTGTTGGGCGAGGACATTATGGAGGTTGGGGGGAGATGGTGCATAGGCGGGGAGGGTGCGAATGTCATGAGGGGTGGGGCGAGGGGTGATGGTGCTCCAGCGTGGAGGAGGGCCCGTGTTGCCACGTGCAAGCCATTCGTCGGTGAGAGCTTTGAAGCACGTATCAGTGGGATGGGTGGTCTGGTTGCAGGTCTGACCTTTGTTAGGGCCTTGGCGAATGACATACTGGCACGGAGGGAGCCCACCCGTGGTTGAAGTGGTTGCCCCACGCCCGCCACGTTCCCCAGTGCGCCCTCCTCGTCCACCTCCGCGACCGCCTCCTCTTCCACCACCGCCCGAGCCACGTCCTGGTCCGCCCCCGCTGCTTCCGCCGGTGTTTGTTCCTTTGCGCGCATGAACGGCATTGATGGAGGCAGATTCACGTAGAAGGTCAGCCTCACTGTCAAGGAGCCAGTCGATGGTAACAGCCACAGGAGGAGGACGGATGTGCTGGGAGGTGAAATTGATGCGGTAAGTGTCGTAGGTGGGTGGGAGGCAGTCAAGGATGCGTGCTGTGAGGAGGGTGTCGGAGATCAAGATGCCACGATCATTGAGACGTTGTGCAGTGTCCGTGAGGCGCCGAGCGAAGGAAGCAGCGTTGAGGGAGGAGTCCAGTGTGATGTCTTGGAAGGTGCGAAAGAGGGAGAGGAGGGAACGTAAGTCCTGGCGATCATATTGGGAGGAGAGAGACTTCCAGAGGGAGGGGGAGGATGGGGGGCGAAGGTCACGCTTGAGAGAGGAGGGAACGCATGAGAAGATGATAGTAAGTGCACGGCGGTCAGCAATGCGCCATGCAGCTGTATCGGAGTGGTGCTTACGGAGCTTAGCAGAGTACTCTTCGGAGGCGGCTTTGAATTCTGCAAGTTTTGCAGTGGCAGCTTCGTGATCGGCGATGGCAGCTGCGTGTGCTCTGCTTTTGATGACATAGTCGTCCCGCTCCTTGTTGTATTTGTTGAGCGTGCGAGCCCACCTGTCCGGATCATCCTCCCAAGCCCCTAGGATAGGGGCTTGGGGGGCAGGTTCGGTCGGGAGTGGTGGGGCGTCGAGGGGGGAGGAGCCTGGGAGTGGGGGCGGAGTGGGGGGGAGGCCATTAGGTGTTTCGAGGACAACGTCTAGGAGGCAGTAATCTCCCACTCGAACGGAGCCCAGGTACGTGAAGAGGCTCTCCTCAAACGACACCCAACTGACGGCGGTGGTGCCGTTGAGGAGCTCGAGCTTGTCGATGGAGGCAAGCTCAAGCGAGGTTGATTCGTCGGCCATGAAAGGAGGAGGAGGGAGGGAGGGGAGGTGGACGACACCGTCTTGAGGGACAGAGCGGTCCGGCTGCTCCACGAGCGGTAGCAGCAAACCCTAATTCAGGGTCCGTCGCGGCTGGTGGGCGTCTCCGCGGCGTCCGCGGCATCCGCAGCTGGTGGGCGTCTCCGCGGCGTCCGCGGCTGACGGCCGCGTTCGTCGCGTCCGCGGCTGACGGCCGCGTTCGTCGCGTCCGCGGCTGACGGCCGCGTTCGTCGCGTCCGCGGCTGACGGCCGCGTTCGTCGCGTCCGCGGCTGACGGCCGCGTTCGTCGCGTCCCCGGCTGACGAGCGCGTTCGTCGCGTCCGCGGCTGACGGTCGCGTTCGTCGCGTCCGCGGCTGACGGTCGCGTTCGTCGCGTCCGCGGCTGACGGTCGCGTTCGTCGCGTCCGCGGCTGACGGTCGCGTTCGTCGCGTCCGCGGCTGATGGGCGCGTTCGTCGCGTCCGCGGCTGACGGTCGCGTTCGTCGCGGCGGGCGGACGTGGTGAGGAGAGGGGCGCCGAGATGGCGCGAGGGGCACGGCAGAGTCGGCGGGAGGTGCGCTGAGCGGCGCGAGGGGCACGGCTGAGCCGGCGGGAGGTGCGCTAAGTGGCGCAAGGGGCACGGCAGAGCCTGCGGGAGGTGCGCTGAGCGGCGCGAGGGGCACGGCTGAGCCGGCGGGAGGTGCGCTAAGTGGCGCAAGGGGCACGGCAGAGCCGGCGGGAGGTAGAGTATGGTCCTAGGATCTTGAGTGGCGTTAGCCGTAAGAGCTCTGATAACATGTGAGAATTGAACCGATGAGTTGATTAGGAATGATGAGGGCTTACATAGTTGGAGCTAAGGAAAGGGGGGTGGTTGGTACCTAGCCAACATTATTGGCCCCCACCAATAAGTTGGGTTGGAGAATTATTGGGGGGTCCCAATAATGTTGGTCAAAGTGGGCCAACATTATTGGGGGGGCCAATAATCCTCCAACCCAACCTTGGGGTCCAATAATTGGGCCAAGGTTGGGTTCCAACCCCCACCTAGGGTTAACCCTAGTTGTGCACACAAACATTGTTTGGGTGCCTATCTCTATCCTAGGGTTTATAGGATCAATGCAGGATACAGAAGAGTAGTATAATCTAACATGAGTCACTCACTCACTCATGCTGTCAGTCTCTCAATCACTCATGCTGTGAGTCACTCATTCACTCATGCTGTCAGTCACTCACTCTCTCATGTTGTCAGTCAGTCACTCACTCACTCATGCTGTCACTCACTCACTCACTCATGCTGTCAGTCACTCAATCACTCATGCTGTCAGTCACTCACTCACTCATGCTGTCACTCACTCACTCACTCATGCTGTTAGTCACTCACTCACTCATGCTGTCAGTCACTCACTCACTCATGCTGTCACTCACTCACTCACTCATGCTGTCAGTCACTCACTCACTCATGCTGTCAGACACTCACTCACTCATGCTGTCACTCACTCACTCACTCACTCATGCTATCAGTCACTCACTCCTCATGCTCTCAGTCACTCACTCACTCATGCTGTCAGTCACTCACTCACTCATGCTGTGAGTCACTCACTCACTCACTCATGCTGGGAGTCACTCACTCACTCACTCATGCTGTCAGTCACTCTCTCACTCATGCTGTCAGTCACTCACTCACTCATGCTGTCAGTCACTCACTCACTCATGCTGTCAGTCACTCACTCACTTATGCTGTCAGTCACTCACTCACTCATGCTGTCAGTCAGTCACTCACTCACTCATGCTGTCACTCATTCACTCACTCATGCTGTCACTCACTCACTCACTCATGCTGTCAGTCACTCACTCACTCATGCTGTCAGTCACTCACTCACTCATGTTGTCAGTCACTCACTCACTCACTCATGCTGTCAGTCACTCACTCACTCACTCATGCTGTCACTCACTCACTCACTCATGCTGTCACTCACTCACTCACTCATGCTGTCAGTCACTCTCTCACTCATGCTGTCAGTCACTCACTCACTCATGCTGTCAGTCACTCACTCACTTATGCTGTCAGTCACTCACTCACTCATGCTGTCAGTCAGTCACTCACTCACTCATGCTGTCACTCATTCACTCACTCATGCTGTCACTCACTCACTCACTCATGCTGTCAGTCACTCACTCACTCATGCTGTCAGTCACTCACTCACTCATGCTGTCAGTCACTCACTCACTCACTCATGCTGTCAGTCACTCACTCACTCACTCATGCTGTCACTCACTCACTCACTCATGCTGTCACTCACTCACTCACTCATGCTGTCAGTCACTCTCTCACTCATGCTGTCAGTCACTCACTCACTCATGCTGTCAGTCACTCACTCACTCATGCTGTCAGTCACTCACTCACTCATGCTGTCAGTCACTCCGTCACTCACTCATGCTGTGAGTCACTCACTCACTCACTCGCTCATGCTGTCAGTCACTCAGTCACTCATGCTGTCACTCACTCACTCACTCATGCTGTCAGTCACTCACTCACTCATGCTGTCAGTCACTTACTCACTCATGCTGTCAGTCACTCACTCACTCATGCTGTCAGTCACTCACTCACTCATGCTATCAGTCACTCACTCCTCATGCTCTCAGTCACTCACTCACTCATGCTGTCAGTCACTCACTCACTCATGCTGTGAGTCACTCACTCACTCACTCATGCTAGGAGTCACTCACTCACTCACTCATGCTGTCAGTCACTCTCTCACTCATGCTGTCAGTCACTCACTCACTCATGCTGTCAGTCACTCACTCACTCATGCTGTCAGTCACTCACTCACTTATGCTGTCAGTCACTCACTCACTCATGCTGTCAGTCACTCACTCACTCACTCATGCTGTCACTCATTCACTCACTCATGCTGTCACTCACTCACTCACTCATGCTGTCAGTCACTCACTCACTCATGCTGTCAGTCACTCACTCACTCATGCTGTCAGTCACTCACTCACTCACTCATGCTGTCAGTCACTCACTCACTCACTCATGCTGTCACTCACTCACTCACTCATGCTGTCACTCACTCACTCACTCATGTTGTCAGTCACTCACTCACTCATGCTGTCAGTCACTCACTCACTCATGGTGTCAGTCACTCACTCACTCATGCTGCCAGTCACTCACTCACTCATGCTGTCAGTCACTCACTCACTCATACTGTCAGTCACTCACACACTCACTCATGCTGTGAGTCACTCACTCAGTCACTCGCTCATGCTGTCAGTCACTCACTCACTCATGCTGTCACTCACTCACTCACTCATGCTGTCAGTCACTCACTCACTCATGCTGTCAGTCAGTCACTCACTCATGCTGTCAGTCACTCACTCACTCATGCTGTCAGTCACTTACTCATGCTGTCAGTCACTCACTCACTCATGCTGTCAGTCACTCACTCACTCACTCATGCTGTCAATCACTCACTCACTCATGCTGTCAGTCACTCACTCACTCACTCATGCTGTCAGTCACTCACTCACTCACTCATGCTGTCACTCACTCACTCACTCATGCTGTCAGTCACTCTCTCACTCATGCTGTCAGTCACTCACTCACTCATGCTGTCAGTCACTCACTCACTCATGCTGTCAGTCACTCACTCACTCATGCTGTCAGTCACTCCGTCACTCACTCATGCTGTGAGTCACTCACTCACTCACTCGCTCATGCTGTCAGTCACTCACTCACTCATGCTGTCACTCACTCACTCACTCATGCTGTCAGTCACTCACTCACTCATGCTGTCAGTCAGTCACTCACTCATGCTGTCAGTCACTCACTCACTCATGCTGTCAGTCACTTACTCACTCATGCTGTCAGTCACTCACTCACTCATGCTGTCAGTCACTCACTCACTCATGCTATCAGTCACTCACTCCTCATGCTCTCAGTCACTCACTCACTCATGCTGTCAGTCACTCACTCACTCATGCTGTGAGTCACTCACTCACTCACTCATGCTGGGAGTCACTCACTCACTCACTCATGCTGTCAGTCACTCTCTCACTCATGCTGTCAGTCACTCACTCACTCATGCTGTCAGTCACTCACTCACTCATGCTGTCAGTCAGTCACTCACTCATGCTGTCAGTCACTCACTCACTCATGCTGTCAGTCACTTACTCACTCATGCTGTCAGTCACTCACTCACTCATGCTGTCAGTCACTCACTCACTCACTCATGCTGTCAATCACTCACTCACTCATGCTGTCAGTCACTCACTCACTCACTCATGCTGTCAGTCACTCACTCACTCACTCATGCTGTCACTCACTCACTCACTCATGCTGTCAGTCACTCTCTCACTCATGCTGTCAGTCACTCACTCACTCATGCTGTCAGTCACTCACTCACTCATGCTGTCAGTCACTCACTCACTCATGCTGTCAGTCACTCCGTCACTCACTCATGCTGTGAGTCACTCACTCACTCACTCGCTCATGCTGTCAGTCACTCACTCACTCATGCTGTCACTCACTCACTCACTCATGCTGTCAGTCACTCACTCACTCATGCTGTCAGTCAGTCACTCACTCATGCTGTCAGTCACTCACTCACTCATGCTGTCAGTCACTTACTCACTCATGCTGTCAGTCACTCACTCACTCATGCTGTCAGTCACTCACTCACTCATGCTATCAGTCACTCACTCCTCATGCTCTCAGTCACTCACTCACTCATGCTGTCAGTCACTCACTCACTCATGCTGTGAGTCACTCACTCACTCACTCATGCTGGGAGTCACTCACTCACTCACTCATGCTGTCAGTCACTCTCTCACTCATGCTGTCAGTCACTCACTCACTCATGCTGTCAGTCACTCACTCACTCATGCTGTCAGTCACTCACTCACTTATGCTGTCAGTCACTCACTCACTCATGCTGTCAGTCACTCACTCACTCACTCATGCTGTCACTCATTCACTCACTCATGCTGTCACTCACTCACTCACTCATGCTGTCAGTCACTCACTCACTCATGCTGTCAGTCACTCACTCACTCATGCTGTCAGTCACTCACTCACTCACTCATGCTGTCAGTCACTCACTCACTCACTCATGCTGTCACTCACTCACTCACTCATGCTGTCACTCACTCACTCACTCATGTTGTCAGTCACTCACTCACTCATGCTGTCAGTCACTCACTCACTCATGGTGTCAGTCACTCACTCACTCATGCTGCCAGTCACTCACTCACTCATGCTGTCAGTCACTCACTCACTCATACTGTCAGTCACTCACACACTCACTCATGCTGTGAGTCACTCACTCAGTCACTCGCTCATGCTGTCAGTCACTCACTCACTCATGCTGTCACTCACTCACTCACTCATGCTGTCAGTCACTCACTCACTCATGCTGTCAGTCAGTCACTCACTCATGCAGTCAGTCACTCACTCACTCATGCTGTCAGTCACTTACTCACTCATGCTGTCAGTCACTCACTCACTCATGCTGTCAGTCACTCACTCACTCACTCATGCTGTCAATCACTCACTCACTCATGCTGTCACTCACTCACTCACTCATGCTGTCAGTCACTCTCTCACTCATGCTGTCAGACACTCACTCACTCATGCTGTCACTCACTCACTCACTCACTCATGCTATCAGTCACTCACTCCTCATGCTCTCAGTCACTCACTCACTCATGCTGTTAGTCACTCACTCACTCATGCTGTGAGTCACTCACTCACTCACTCATGCTGGGAGTCACTCACTCACTCACTCATGCTGTCAGTCACTCTCTCACTCATGCTGTCAGTCACTCACTCACTCATGCTGTCAGTCACTCACTCACTCATGCTGTCAGTCACTCACTCACTTATGCTGTCAGTCACTCACTCACTCATGCTGTCAGTCACTCACTCACTCACTCATGCTGTCACTCATTCACTCACTCATGCTGTCACTCACTCACTCACTCATGCTGTCAGTCACTCACTCACTCATGCTGTCAGTCACTCACTCACTCATGCTGTCAGTCACTCACTCACTCACTCATGCTGTCAGTCACTCACTCACTCACTCATGCTGTCACTCACTCACTCACTCATGCTGTCACTCACTCACTCACTCATGTTGTCAGTCACTCACTCACTCATGCTGTCAGTCACTCACTCACTCATGGTGTCAGTCACTCACTCACTCATGCTGCCAGTCACTCACTCACTCATGCTGGCTGTCACTCACTCACTCATACTGTCAGTCACTCACACACTCACTCATGCTGTGAGTCACTCACTCAGTCACTCGCTCATGCTGTCAGTCACTCACTCACTCATGCTGTCACTCACTCACTCACTCATGCTGTCAGTCACTCACTCACTCATGCTGTCAGTCAGTCACTCACTCATGCAGTCAGTCACTCACTCACTCATGCTGTCAGTCACTTACTCACTCATGCTGTCAGTCACTCACTCACTCATGCTGTCAGTCACTCACTCACTCACTCATGCTGTCAGTCACTCACTCACTCATGCTGTCACTCACTCACTCACTCATGCTGTCAGTCACTCTCTCACTCATGCTGTCAGACACTCACTCACTCATGCTGTCACTCACTCACTCACTCACTCATGCTATCAGTCACTCACTCACTCATGCTCTCAGTCACTCACTCACTCATGCTGTCAGTCACTCACTCACTCACTCGCTCATGCTGTCAGTCACTCACTCACTCATGCTGTCACTCACTCACTCACTCATGCTGTCAGTCACTCACTCACTCATGCTGTCAGTCAGTCACTCACTCATGCTGTCAGTCACTCACTCACTCATGCTGTTAGTCACTCACTCACTCATGCTGTCAGTCACTCACTCACTCATGCTGTCACTCACTCACTCTCTCATGCTGTCAGTCACTCACTCACTCATGCTGTCACTCACTCACTCACTCATGCTGTCAGTCACTCAATCACTCATGCTGTCAGTCACTCACTCACTCATGCTGTCACTCACTCACTCACTCATGCTGTTAGTCACTCACTCACTCATGCTGTCAGTCACTCACTCACTCATGCTGTCACTCACTCACTCACTCATGCTGTCAGTCACTCACTCACTCATGCTGTCAGACACTCACTCACTCATGCTGTCACTCACTCACTCACTCACTCATGCTATCAGTCACTCACTCCTCATGCTCTCAGTCACTCACTCACTCATGCTGTCAGTCACTCACTCACTCATGCTGTGAGTCACTCACTCACTCACTCATGCTGGGAGTCACTCACTCACTCACTCATGCTGTCAGTCACTCTCTCACTCATGCTGTCAGTCACTCACTCACTCATGCTGTCAGTCACTCACTCACTCATGCTGTCAGTCACTCACTCACTTATGCTGTCAGTCACTCACTCACTCATGCTGTCAGTCAGTCACTCACTCACTCATGCTGTCACTCATTCACTCACTCATGCTGTCACTCACTCACTCACTCATGCTGTCAGTCACTCACTCACTCATGCTGTCAGTCACTCACTCACTCATGCTGTCAGTCACTCACTCACTCACTCATGCTGTCAGTCACTCACTCACTCACTCATGCTGTCACTCACTCACTCACTCATGCTGTCACTCACTCACTCACTCATGCTGTCAGTCACTCTCTCACTCATGCTGTCAGTCACTCACTCACTCATGCTGTCAGTCACTCACTCACTCATGCTGTCAGTCACTCTCTCACTCATGCTGTCAGTCACTCACTCACTCATGCTGTCAGTCACTCCGTCACTCACTCATGCTGTGAGTCACTCACTCACTCACTCGCTCATGCTGTCAGTCACTCACTCACTCATGCTGTCACTCACTCACTCACTCATGCTGTCAGTCACTCACTCACTCATGCTGTCATTCAGTCACTCACTCATGCTGTCAGTCACTCACTCACTCATGCTGTCAGTCACTTACTCACTCATGCTGTCAGTCACTCACTCACTCATGCTGTCAGTCACTCACTCACTCACTCATGCTGTCAATCACTCACTCACTCATGCTGTCAGTCACTCACTCACTCACTCATGCTGTCAGTCACTCACTCACTCACTCATGCTGTCACTCACTCACTCACTCATGCTGTCAGTCACTCTCTCACTCATGCTGTCAGTCACTCACTCACTCATGCTGTCAGTCACTCACTCACTCATGCTGTTAGTCACTCACTCACTCATGCTGTCAGTCACTCCGTCACTCACTCATGCTGTGAGTCACTCACTCACTCACTCGCTCATGCTGTCAGTCACTCACTCACTCATGCTGTCACTCACTCACTCACTCATGCTGTCAGTCACTCACTCACTCATGCTGTCAGTCAGTCACTCACTCATGCTGTCAGTCACTCACTCACTCATGCTGTCAGTCACTTACTCACTCATGCTGTCAGTCACTCACTCACTCATGCTGTCAGTCACTCACTCACTCATGCTATCAGTCACTCACTCCTCATGCTCTCAGTCACTCACTCACTCATGCTGTCAGTCACTCACTCACTCATGCTGTGAGTCACTCACTCACTCACTCATGCTGGGAGTCACTCACTCACTCACTCATGCTGTCAGTCACTCTCTCACTCATGCTGTCAATCACTCACTCACTCATGCTGTCAGTCACTCACTCACTCATGCTGTCAGTCACTCACTCACTTATGCTGTCAGTCACTCACTCACTCATGCTGTCAGTCACTCACTCACTCACTCATGCTGTCACTCATTCACTCACTCATGCTGTCACTCACTCACTCACTCATGCTGTCACTCACTCACTCACTCATGCTGTCAGTCACTCACTCACTCACTCATGCTGTCACTCACTCACTCACTCATGCTGTCACTCACTCACTCACTCATGTTGTCAGTCACTCACTCACTCATGCTGTCAGTCACTCACTCACTCATGGTGTCAGTCACTCACTCACTCATGCTGCCAGTCACTCACTCACTCATGCTGTCAGTCACTCACTCACTCATACTGTCAGTCACTCACACACTCACTCATGCTGTGAGTCACTCACTCAGTCACTCGCTCATGCTGTCAGTCACTCACTCACTCATGCTGTCACTCACTCACTCACTCATGCTGTCAGTCACTCACTCACTCATGCTGTCAGTCAGTCACTCACTCATGCTGTCAGTCACTCACTCACTCATGCTGTCAGTCACTTACTCACTCATGCTGTCAGTCACTCACTCACTCATGCTGTCAGTCACTCACTCACTCACTCATGCTGTCAGTCACTCACTCACTCATGCTGTCACTCACTCACTCACTCATGCTGTCAGTCACTCTCTCACTCATGCTGTCAGACACTCACTCACTCATGCTGTCACTCACTCACTCACTCACTCATGCTATCAGTCACTCACTCACTCATGCTGTCAGTCACTCACTCACTCATGCTGTCAGTCACTCACTCACTCATGCTGTGAGTCACTCACTCACTCACTCATGCTGGGAGTCACTCACTCACTCACTCATGCTGTCAGTCACTCTCTCACTCATGCTGTCAGTCACTCACTCACTCATGCTGTCAGTCACTCACTCACTCATGCTGTCAGTCACTCACTCACTCATGCTGTCAGTCACTCCGTCACTCACTCATGCTGTGAGTCGCTCACTCACTCACTCGCTCATGCTGTCAGTCACTCACTCACTCATGCTGTCACTCACTCACTCACTCATGCTGTCAGTCACTCACTCACTCATGCTGTCAGTCAGTCACTCACTCATGCTGTCAGTCACTCACTCACTCATGCTGTCAGTCACTTACTCACTCATGCTGTCAGTCACTCACTCACTCATGCTGTCAGTCACTCACTCACTCATGCTATCAGTCACTCACTCCTCATGCTCTCAGTCACTCACTCACTCATGCTGTCAGTCACTCACTCACTCATGCAATGAGTCACTCACTCACTCATGCTGGGAGTCACTCACTCACTCACTCATGCTGTCAGTCACTCACTCACTCATGCTGTCAGTCACTCTCTCACTCATGCTGTCAGACACTCACTCACTCATGCTGTCACTCACTCACTCACTCACTCATGCTATCAGTCACTCACTCACTCATGCTGTGAGTCACTCACTCACTCACTCATGCTGGGAGTCACTCACTCACTCACTCATGCTGTCAGTCACTCTCTCACTCATGCTGTCAGTCACTCACTCACTCATGCTGTCAGTCACTCACTCACTCATGCTGTCAGTCACTCACTCACTCATGCTGTCAGTCACTCCGTCACTCACTCATGCTGTGAGTCACTCACTCACTCACTCGCTCATGCTGTCAGTCACTCACTCACTCATGCTGTCACTCACTCACTCACTCATGCTGTCAGTCACTCACTCACTCATGCTGTCAGTCAGTCACTCACTCATGCTGTCAGTCACTCACTCACTCACTCATGCTGTCAGTCACTCACTCACTCACTCATGCTGTCACTCACTTACTCACTCATGCTGTCAGTCACTCACTCACTCATGTTGTCAGTCACTCACTCACTCATGCTATCAGTCACTCACTCCTCATGCCCTCAGTCACTCACTCACTCATGCTGTCAGTCACTCACTCACTCATGCTGTCAGTCACTCACTCACTCACTCATGCTGGGAGTCACTCACTCACTCACTCATGCTGTCAGTCACTCTCTCACTCATGCTGTCAGTCACTCACTCACTCATGCTGTCAGTCACTCACTCACTCATGCTGTCAGTCACTCACTCACTTATGCTGTCAGTCACTCACTCACTCATGCTGTCAGTCACTCACTCACTCACTCATGCTGTCACTCATTCACTCACTCATGCTGTCACTCACTCACTCACTCATGCTGTCAGTCACTCACTCACTCATGCTGTCAGTCACTCACTCACTCATGCTGTCAGTCACTCACTCACTCACTCATGCTGTCAGTCACTCACTCACTCACTCATGCTGTCACTCACTCACTCACTCATGCTGTCACTCACTCACTCACTCATGTTATCAGTCACTCACTCACTCATGCTGTCAGTCACTCACTCACTCATGGTGTCAGTCACTCACTCACTCATGCTGCCAGTCACTCACTCACTCATGCTGTCAGTCACTCAGTCACTCATACTGTCAGTCACTCACACACTCACTCATGCTGTGAGTCACTCACTCAGTCACTCGCTCATGCTGTCAGTCACTCACTCACTCATGCTGTCACTCACTCACTCACTCATGCTGTCAGTCACTCACTCACTCATGCTGTCAGTCAGTCACTCACTCATGCTGTCAGTCACTCACTCACTCATGCTGTCAGTCACTTACTCACTCATGCTGTCAGTCACTCACTCACTCATGCTGTCAGTCACTCACTCACTCACTCATGCTGTCAGTCACTCACTCACTCATGCTGTCAGTCACTCACTCACTCATGCTGTCAGTCACTCACTCACTCATGCTGTCAGTCACTCACTCACTCATGCTGTCAGTCACTCACTCACTCATGGTGTCAGTCACTCACTCACTCATCCTGTCAGTCACTCACCCACTCATGCTGTCAGTCACTCACTCACTCATGCTGTCAGTCACTCACTCACTCATGCTGTCAGACACTCACTCACTTATGCTGTCACTCACTCACTCACTCACTCACTCATGCTATCAGTCACTCACTCACTCATGCTCTCAGTCACTCACTTACTCATGCTGTCAGACACTCACTCACTCATGCTGTCACTCACTCACTCACTCACTCATGCTATCAGTCACTCACTCACTCATGCTCTCAGTCACTCACTCACTCATGGTGTCAGTCACTCACTCACTCATGCTGTGAGTCACTCACTCACTCACTCATGCTGTCAGTCACTCACTCACTCATGCTGTCAGTCACTCACTCACTTATGCTGTCAGTCACTCACTCACTCATGCTGTCAGTCACTCACTCACTCATGCTGTCAGTCACTCACTCACTCATCCTGTCTGTCACTCACCCACTCATGCTGTCAGTCACTCACTCACTCATGCTGTCAGTCACTCACTCACTCATGCTGTCAGACACTCACTCATGCTGTCACTCACTCACTCACTCACTCACTCATGCTATCAGTCACTCACTCACTCATGCTCTCAGTCACTCACTCACTCATGCTGTCAGACACTCACTCACTCATGCTGTCACTCACTCACTCACTCACTCATGCTATCAGTCACTCACTCACTCATGCTCTCAGTCACTCACTCACTCATGGTGTCAGTCACTCACTCACTCATGCTGGGAGTCACTCACTCACTCACTCATGCTGTCAGTCACTCACTCACTCATGCTGTCAGTCACTCACTCACTTATGCTGTCAGTCACTTACTCACTCATGCTGTCAGTCACTCACTCACTCACTCATGCTGTCAGTCACTCACTCACTCACTCATGCTGTCAGTCACTCTCTCACTCATGCTGTCAGACACTCACTCACTCATGCTGTCACTCACTCACTCACTCACTCATGCTATCAATCACTCACTCACTCATGCTCTCAGTCACTCACTCACTCATGCTGTCAGTCACTCACTCACTCATGCTGTGAGTCACTCACTCACTCACTCATGCTGGGAGTCACTCACTCACTCACTCATGCTGTCAGTCACTCTCTCACTCATGCTGTCAGTCACTCACTCACTCATGCTGTCAGTCACTCACTCACTCATGCTGTCAGTCACTCACTCACTTATGCTGTCAGTCACTCACTCACTCATGCTGTCAGTCACTCACTCACTCACTCATGCTGTCACTCATTCACTCACTCATGTTGTCACTCACTCACTCACTCATGCTGTCAGTCACTCACTCACTCATGCTGTCAGTCACTCACTCACTCATGCTGTCAGTCACTCACTCACTCACTCATGCTGTCAGTCACTCACTCACTCACTCATGCTGTCACTCACTCACTCACTCATGCTGTCACTCACTCACTCACTCATGTTGTCAGTCACTCACTCACTCATGCTGTCAGTCACTCACTCACTCATGGTGTCAGTCACTCACTCACTCATGCTGCCAGTCACTCACTCACTCATGCTGTCAGTCAGTCACTCACTCATACTGTCAGTCACTCACACACTCACTCATGCTGTGAGTCACTCACTCGGTCACTCGCTCATGCTGTCAGTCACTCACTCACTCATGCTGTCACTCACTCACTCACTCATGCTGTCAGTCACTCACTCACTCATGCTGTCAGTCAGTCACTCACTCATGCTGTCAGTCACTCACTCACTCATGCTGTCAGTCACTTACTCACTCATGCTGTCAGTCACTCACTCACTCATGCTGTCAGTCACTCACTCACTCACTCATGCTGTCAGTCACTCACTCACTCATGCTGTCACTCACTCACTCACTCATGCTGTCAGTCACTCTCTCACTCATGCTGTCAGACACTCACTCACTCATGCTGTCACTCACTCACTCACTCACTCATGCTATCAGTCACTCACTCACTCATGCTCTCAGTCACTCACTCACTCATGCTGTCAGTCACTCACTCACTCATGCTGTGAGTCACTGACTCACTCACTCATGCTGGGAGTCACTCACTCACTCACTCATGCTGTCAGTCACTCTCTCACTCATGCTGTCTGTCACTCACTCACTCATGCTGTCAGTCACTCACTCACTCATGCTGTCAGTCACTCACTCACTTATGCTGTCAGTCACTCACTCACTCATGCTGTCAGTCACTCACTCACTCACTCATGCTGTCACTCATTCACTCACTCATGCTGTCACTCACTCACTCACTCATGCTGTCAGTCACTCACTCACTCATGCTGTCAGTCACTCACTCACTCATGCTGTCAGTCACTCACTCACTCACTCATGCTGTCAGTCAGTCACTCACTCACTCATGCTGTCACTCACTCACTCACTCATGCTGTCACTCACTCACTCACTCATGTTGTCAGTCACTCACTCACTCATGCTGTCAGTCACTCACTCACTCATGGTGTCAGTCACTCACTCACTCATGCTGCCAGTCACTCACTCACTCATGCTGTCAGTCACTCACTCACTCATACTGTCAGTCACTCACACACTCACTCATGCTGTGAGTCACTCACTCAGTCACTCGCTCATGCTGTCAGTCACTCACTCACTCATGCTGTCACTCACTCACTCACTCATGCTGTCAGTCACTCACTCACTCATGCTGTCAGTCAGTCACTCACTCATGCTGTCAGTCACTCACTCACTCATGCTGTCAGTCACTTACTCACTCATGCTGTCAGTCACTCACTCATGCTGTCAGTCACTCACTCACTCACTCATGCTGTCAGTCACTCACTCACTCATGCTGTCAGTCACTCACTCACTCATGCTGTCAGTCACTCACTCACTCATGCTGTCAGTCACTCACTCACTCATGCTGTGAGTCACTCACTCACTCATGCTGTCAGTCACTCACTCACTCATCCTGTCAGTCACTCACCCACTCATGCTGTCAGTCACTCACTCACTCATGCTGTCAGTCACTCACTCACTCATGCTGTCAGACACGCACTCACTCATGCTGTCACTCACTCACTCACTCACTCACTCATGCTATCAGTCACTCACTCACTCATGCTCTCAGTCACTCACTCACTCATGCTGTCAGACACTCACTCACTCATGCTGTCACTCACTCACTCACTCACTCATGCTATCAGTCACTCACTCACTCATGCTCTCAGTCACTCACTCACTCATGGTGTCAGTCACTCACTCACTCATGCTGTGAGTCACTCACTCACTCACTCATGCTGGGAGTCACTCACTCACTCACTCATGCTGTCAGTCACTCACTCACTCATGCTGTCAGTCACTCACTCACTCATGCTGTCAGTCACTCACTCACTCATGCTGTCAGTCACTCACTCACTCACTCATGCTGTCAGTCACTCTCTCACTCATGCTGTCAGACACTCACTCACTCATGCTGTCACTCACTCACTCACTCACTCATGCTATCAGTCACTCACTCACTCATGCTCTCAGTCACTCACTCACTCATGCTGTCAGTCACTCACTCACTCATGCTGTGAGTCACTCACTCACTCACTCATGCTGGGAGTCACTCACTCACTCACTCATGCTGTCAGTCACTCTCTCACTCATGCTGTCAGTCACTCACTCACTCATGCTGTCAGTCACTCACTCATGCTGTCAGTCACTCACTCACTCATGCTGTCAGTCACTCCGTCACTCACTCATGCTGTGAGTCACTCACTCACTCACTCGCTCATGCTGTCAGTCACTCACTCACTCATGCTGTCACTCACTCACTCACTCATGCTGTCAGTCACTCACTCACTCATGCTGTCAGTCAGTCACTCACTCATGCTGTCAGTCACTCACTCACTCATGCTGTCAGTCACTTACTCATGCTGTCAGTCACTCACTCACTCATGCTGTCAGTCACTCACTCACTCACTCATGCTGTCAGTCACTCACTCACTCACTCATGCTGTCAGTCACTCACTCACTCATGCTGTCAGTCACTCACTCACTCATGCTGTCAGTCACTCACTCACTCATGGTGTCAGTCACTCACTCACTCATGCTGTCAGTCACTCACTCACTCACTCATGCTGGGAGTCACTCACTCACTCACTCATGCTGTCAGTCACTCTCTCACTCATGCTGTCAGTCACTCACTCATTCATGCTGTCAGTCACTCACTCACTCATGCTGTCAGTCACTCACTCACTCACTCATGCTGTCAGTCACTCTCTCACTCATGCTGTCAGACACTCACTCACTCATGCTGTCACTCACTCACTCACTCACTCATGCTATCAGTCACTCACTCACTCATGCTCTCAGTCACTCACACACTCATGCTGTCAGTCACTCACTCACTCATGCTGTGAGTCACTCACTCACTCACTCATGCTGGGAGTCACTCACTCATGCTGTCAGTCACTCTCTCACTCATGCTGTCAGTCACTCACTCACTCATGCTGTCAGTCACTCACTCACTCATGCTGTCAGTCACTCACTCACTCACTCATGCTGTCAGTCACTCACTCACTCATGCTGTCACTCACTCACTCACTCATGCTGTCACTCACTCACTCACTCATGCTGTCAGTCACTCACTCACTCATGCTGTCAGTCACTCACTCACTCATGCTGTCAGTCACTCACTCATGCTGTCAGTCACTCACTCACTTATGCTGTCAGTCACTCACTCACTCATGCTGTCAGTCACTCACTCACTCACTCATGCTGTCACTCATTCACTCACTCATGCTGTCACTCACTCACTCACTCATGCTGTCAGTCACTCACTCACTCATGCTGTCAGTCACTCACTCACTCATGCTGTCAGTCACTCACTCACTCACTCATGCTGTCAGTCACTCACTCACTCACTCATGCTGTCACTCACTCACTCACTCATGCTGTCACTCCCTCACTCACTCATGTTGTCAGTCACTCACTCACTCATGGTGTCAGTCACTCACTCACTCATGGTGTCAGTCACTCACTCACTCATGCTGTCAGTCACTCACTCACTCATGCTGTCAGTCACTCACTCACTCATACTGTCAGTCACTCATACACTCACTCATGCTGTGAGTCACTCACTCACTCACTCGCTCATGCTGTCAGTCACTCACTCACTCATGTTGTCAGTCACTCACTCACTCACTCATGCTGTCACTCACTCACTCACTCATGCTGTCACTCACTCATGTTGTCAGTCACTCAATCACTCATGCTGTCAGTCACTCACTCACTCATGGTGTCAGTCACTCACTCACTCATGCTGCCAGTCACTCACTCACTCATGCTGTCAGTCACTCACTCACTCATACTGTCAGTCACTCACACACTCACTCATGCTGTGAGTCACTCACTCACTCACTCGCTCATGCTGTCAGTCACTCACTCACTCATGCTGTCACTCACTCACTCACTCATGCTGTCAGTCACTCACTCACTCATGCTGTCAGTCAGTCACTCACTCATGCTGTCAGTCACTCACTCACTCATGCTGTCAGTCACTTACTCACTCATGCTGTCAGTCACTCACTCACTCATGCTGTCAGTCACTCACTCACTCACTCATGCTGTCAGTCACTCACTCACTCATGCTGTCAGTCACTCACTCACTCATGCTGTCAGTCACTCACTCACTTACGCTGTCAGTCACTCACTCACTCATGCTGTCAGTCACTCCGTCACTCACTCATGCTGTGAGTCACTCACTCACTCACTCACTCATGCTGTCAGTCACTCACTCACTCATGCTGTTAGTCAGTCACTCACTCATGCTGTCAGTCACTCACTCACTCATGCTGTCAGTCACTTACTCATGCTGTCAGTCACTCACTCACTCATGCTGTCAGTCACTCACTCACTCACTCATGCTGTCAGTCACTCACTCACTCACTCATGCTGTCAGTCACTCACTCACTCATGCTGTCAGTCACTCACTCACTCATGCTGTCAGTCACTCACTCACTCATGGTGTCAGTCACTCACTCACTCATGCTGTCAGTCACTCACTCACTCACTCATGCTGGGAGTCACTCACTCACTCACTCATGCTGTCAGTCACTCTCTCACTCATGCTGTCAGTCACTCACTCATTCATGCTGTCAGTCACTCACTCACTCATGCTGTCAGTCACTCACTCACTCACTCATGCTGTCAGTCACTCTCTCACTCATGCTGTCAGACACTCACTCACTCATGCTGTCACTCACTCACTCACTCACTCATGCTATCAGTCACTCACTCACTCATGCTCTCAGTCACTCACACACTCATGCTGTCAGTCACTCACTCACTCATGCTGTGAGTCACTCACTCACTCACTCATGCTGGGAGTCACTCACTCATGCTGTCAGTCACTCTCTCACTCATGCTGTCAGTCACTCACTCACTCATGCTGTCAGTCACTCACTCACTCATGCTGTCAGTCACTCACTCACTCACTCATGCTGTCAGTCACTCACTCACTCATGCTGTCACTCACTCACTCACTCATGCTGTCACTCACTCACTCACTCATGCTGTCAGTCACTCACTCACTCATGCTGTCAGTCACTCACTCACTCATGCTGTCAGTCACTCACTCATGCTGTCAGTCACTCACTCACTTATGCTGTCAGTCACTCACTCACTCATGCTGTCAGTCACTCACTCACTCACTCATGCTGTCACTCATTCACTCACTCATGCTGTCACTCACTCACTCACTCATGCTGTCAGTCACTCACTCACTCATGCTGTCAGTCACTCACTCACTCATGCTGTCAGTCACTCACTCACTCACTCATGCTGTCAGTCACTCACTCACTTATGCTGTCAGTCACTCACTCACTCATGCTGTCAGTCACTCACTCACTCACTCATGCTGTCACTCATTCACTCACTCATGCTGTCACTCACTCACTCACTCATGCTGTCAGTCACTCACTCATGCTGTCAGTCACTCACTCACTCATGCTGTCAGTCACTCACTCACTCACTCATGCTGTCAGTCACTCACTCACTCACTCATGCTGTCACTCACTCACTCACTCATGCTGTCACTCCCTCACTCACTCATGTTGTCAGTCACTCACTCACTCATGGTGTCAGTCACTCACTCACTCATGGTGTCAGTCACTCACTCACTCATGCTGTCAGTCACTCACTCACTCATGCTGTCAGTCACTCACTCACTCATACTGTCAGTCACTCACTCACTCACTCATGCTGTGAGTCACTCACTCACTCACTCGCTCATGCTGTCAGTCACTCACTCACTCATGCTGTCAGTCACTCACTCACTCACTCATGCTGTCACTCACTCACTCACTCATGCTGTCACTCACTCACTCACTCATGTTGTCAGTCACTCACTCACTCATGCTGTCAGTCACTCACTCACTCATGGTGTCAGTCACTCACTCACTCATGCTGCCAGTCACTCACTCACTCATGCTGTCAGTCACTCACTCACTCATACTGTCAGTCACTCACACACTCACTCATGCTGTGAGTCACTCACTCACTCACTCGCTCATGCTGTCAGTCACTCACTCACTCATGCTGTCACTCACTCACTCACTCATGCTGTCAGTCACTCACTCACTCATGCTGTCAGTCAGTCACTCACTCATGCTGTCAGTCACTCACTCACTCATGCTGTCAGTCACTTACTCACTCATGCTGTCAGTCACTCACTCACTCATGCTGTCAGTCACTCACTCACTCACTCATGCTGTCAGTCACTCACTCACTCATGCTGTCAGTCACTCACTCACTCATGCTGTCAGTCACTCACTCACTTACGCTGTCAGTCACTCACTCACTCATGCTGTCAGTCACTCCGTCACTCACTCATGCTGTGAGTCACTCACTCACTCACTCGCTCATGCTGTCAGTCACTCACTCACTCATGCTGTCAGTCACTCACTCACTCATGCTGTCAGTCACTCACTCACTCATGCTGTCAGTCAGTCACTCACTCATGCTGTCAGTCACTCACTCACTCATGCTGTCAGTCACTTACTCACTCATGCTGTCAGTCACTCACTCACTCATGCTGTCAGTCACTCACTCACTCACTCATGCTGTCAGTCACTCACTCACTCTCTCATGCTGTCAGTCACTCACTCACTCATGCTGTCAGTCACTCACTCACTCATGCTGTCAGTCACTCACTCACTCATGCTGTCAGTCACTCACTCACTCATGCTGTCAGTCACTCACTCACTCACTCATGCTGGGAGTCACTCACTCACTCACTCATGCTGTCAGTCACTCTCTCACTCATGCTGTCTGTCACTCACTCACTCATGCTATCAGTCACTCACTCACTCATGCTGTCAGTCACTCACTCACTCATGCTGTCAGTCACTCACTCACTCATGCTGTCAGTCACTCACTCACTCATGCTGTCACTCACTCACTCACTCATGCTGTCAGTCATTCACTCACTCATGCTGGGAGTCACTCACTCACTCACTCATGCTGTCAGTCACTCTCTCACTCATGCTGTCAGTCACTCACTCACTCATGCTGTCAGTCAGTCACTCACTCATGCTGTCAGTCACTCACTCACTCACTCATGCTGTCAGTCACTCTCTCACTCATGCTGTCAGACACTCACTCACTCATGCTGTCACTCACTCACTCACTCACTCATGCTATCAATCACTCACTCACTCATGCTCTCAGTCACTCACTCACTCATGCTGTCAGTCACTCACTCACTCATGCTGTGAGTCACTCACTCACTCACTCATGCTGTCAGTCACTCTCTCACTCATGCTGTCTGTCACTCACTCACTCATGCTGTCACTCACTCACTCACTCATGCTGGGAGTCACTCACTCACTCACTCATGCTGTCAGTCACTATCTCACTCATGCTGTCAGTCACTCACTCACTCATGCTGTCAGTCACTCACTCACTCATGCTGTCAGTCACTCACTCACTCATGCTGTCAGTCACTCACTCACTCACTCATGCTGTCACTCACTCACTCACTCATGCTGTCAGTCACTTACTCACTCATGCTGTCAGTCACTCACTCACTCATGCTGTCAGTCACTCACTCACTCACTCATGCTGTCAGTCACTCACTCACTCATGCTGTCAGTCACTCACTCACTCATGCTGTCAGTCACTCACTCAGTTACGCTGTCAGTCACTCACTCACTCATGCTGTCAGTCACTCCGTCACTCACTCATGCTGTGAGTCACTCACTCACTCACTCGCTCATGCTGTCAGTCACTCACTCACTCATGCTGTCACTCACTCACTCACTCATGCTGTCAGTCACTCACTCACTCATGCTGTCAGTCAGTCACTCACTCATGCTGTCAGTCACTCACTCACTCATGCTGTCAGTCACTTACTCACTCATGCTGTCAGTCACTCACTCACTCATGCTGTCAGTCACTCACTCACTCACTCATGCTGTCAGTCACTCACTCACTCTCTCATGCTGTCAGTCACTCACTCACTCATGCTGTCAGTCACTCACTCACTCATGCTGTCAGTCACTCACTCACTCATGGTGTCAGTCACTCACTCACTCATGCTGTCAGTCACTCACTCACTCACTCATGCTGGGAGTCACTCACTCACTCACTCATGCTGTCAGTCACTCTCTCACTCATGCTGTCTGTCACTCACTCACTCATGCTGTCAGTCACTCACTCACTCATGCTGTCAGTCACTCACTCACTCATGCTGTCAGTCACTCACTCACTCATGCTGTCAGTCACTCACTCACTCATGCTGTCAGTCATTCACTCACTCATGCTGGGAGTCACTCACTCACTCACTCATGCTGTCAGTCACTCTCTCATGCTGTCAGTCACTCACTCACTCATGCTGTCAGTCACTCACTCACTCATGCTGTCAGTCACTCACTCACTCATGGTGTCAGTCACTCACTCACTCATGCTGTCAGTCACTCACTCACTCACTCATGCTGGGAGTCACTCACTCACTCACTCATGCTGTCAGTCACTCTCTCACTCATGCTGTCTGTCACTCACTCACTCATGCTGTCAGTCACTCACTCACTCATGCTGTCAGTCACTCACTCACTCATGCTGTCAGTCACTCACTCACTCATGCTGTCAGTCACTCACTCACTCATGCTGTCAGTCATTCACTCACTCATGCTGGGAGTCACTCACTCACTCACTCATGCTGTCAGTCACTCTCTCACTCATGCTGTCAGTCACTCACTCACTCATGCTGTCAGTCACTCACTCACTCATGCTGTCAGTCACTCACTCACTCACTCATGCTGTCAGTCACTCTCTCACTCATGCTGTCAGACACTCACTCACTCATGCTGTCACTCACTCACTCACTCACTCATGCTATCAGTCACTCACTCACTCATGCTCTCAGTCACTCACTCACTCATGCTGTCAGTCACTCACTCACTCATGCTGTGAGTCACTCACTCACTCACTCATGCTGGGAGTCACTCACTCACTCACTCATGCTGTCAGTCACTCTCTCACTCATGCTGTCAGTCACTCACTCACTCATGCTGTCAGTCACTCACTCACTCATGCTGTCAGTCACTCACTCACTCATGCTGTCAGTCACTCACTCACTTACGCTGTCAGTCACTCACTCACTCATGCTGTCAGTCACTCCGTCACTCACTCATGCTGTGAGTCACTCACTCACTCACTCGCTCATGCTGTCAGTCACTCACTCACTCATGCTGTCACTCACTCACTCACTCATGCTGTCAGTCACTCACTCACTCATGCTGTCAGTCACTCACTCACTCATGCTGTCAGTCACTCACTCACTCATGCTGTCAATCACTCACTCACTCATGCTGTCAGTCACTCACTCACTCATGCTGTCAGTCACTCACTCACTCATGCTGTCAGTCATTCACTCACTCATGCTGGGAGTCACTCACTCACTCACTCATGCTGTCAGTCACTCTCTCACTCATGCTGTCAGTCACTCACTCACTCATGCTGTCAGTCACTCACTCACTCATGCTGTCAGTCACTCACTCACTCACTCATGCTGTCAGTCACTCTCTCACTCATGCTGTCAGACACTCACTCACTCATGCTGTCACTCACTCACTCACTCACTCATGCTATCAATCACTCACTCACTCATGCTCTCAGTCACTCACTCACTCATGCTGTCAGACACTCACTCACTCATGCTGTCACTCACTCACTCACTCACTCATGCTATCAATCACTCACTCACTCATGCTCTCAGTCACTCACTCACTCATGCTGTCAGTCACTCTCTCACTCATGCTGTCTGTCATTCACTCACTCATGCTGGGAGTCACTCACTCACTCACTCATGCTGTCAGTCACTCTCTCATGCTGTCAGTCACTCACTCACTCATGCTGTCAGTCACTCTCTCACTCATGCTGTCAGTCACTCACTCACTCATGGTGTCAGTCACTCACTCACTCATGCTGTCAGTCACTCACTCACTCACTCATGCTGGGAGTCACTCACTCACTCACTCATGCTGTCAGTCACTCTCTCACTCATGCTGTCTGTCACTCACTCACTCATGCTGTCAGTCACTCACTCACTCATGCTGTCAGTCACTCACTCACTCATGCTGTCAGTCACTCACTCACTCATGCTGTCAGTCACTCACTCACTCATGCTGTCAGTCATTCACTCACTCATGCTGGGAGTCACTCACTCACTCACTCATGCTGTCAGTCACTCTCTCATGCTGTCAGTCACTCACTCACTCATGCTGTCAGTCACTCACTCACTCATGCTGTCAGTCACTCACTCACTCATGCTGTCAGTCACTCACTCACTCATGCTGTCAGTCACTCACTCACTCACTCATGCTGGGAGTCACTCACTCACTCACTCATGCTGTCAGTCACTCTCTCACTCATGCTGTCTGTCACTCACTCACTCATGCTGTCAGTCACTCACTCACTCATGCTGTCAGTCACTCACTCACTCATGCTGTCAGTCACTCACTCACTCATGCTGTCAGTCACTCACTCACTCATGCTGTCAGTCACTCACTCACTCATGCTGTCAGTCATTCACTCACTCATGCTGGGAGTCACTCACTCACTCACTCATGCTGTCAGTCACTCTCTCACTCATGCTGTCAGTCACTCACTCACTCATGCTGTCAGTCACTCACTCACTCATGCTGTCAGTCACTCACTCACTCACTCATGCTGTCAGTCACTCTCTCACTCATGCTGTCAGACACTCACTCACTCATGCTGTCACTCACTCACTCACTCACTCATGCTATCAATCACTCACTCACTCATGCTCTCAGTCACTCACTCACTCATGCTGTCAGTCACTCACTCACTCATGCTGTGAGTCACTCACTCACTCACTCATGCTGTCAGTCACTCTCTCACTCATGCTGTCTGTCATTCACTCACTCATGCTGGGAGTCACTCACTCACTCACTCATGCTGTCAGTCACTCTCTCATGCTGTCAGTCACTCACTCACTCATGCTGTCAGTCACTCTCTCACTCATGCTGTCAGTCACTCACTCACTCATGGTGTCAGTCACTCACTCACTCATGCTGTCAGTCACTCACTCACTCACTCATGCTGGGAGTCACTCACTCACTCACTCATGCTGTCAGTCACTCTCTCACTCATGCTGTCTGTCACTCACTCACTCATGCTGTCAGTCACTCACTCACTCATGCTGTCAGTCACTCACTCACTCATGCTGTCAGTCACTCACTCACTCATGCTGTCAGTCACTCACTCACTCATGCTGTCAGTCATTCACTCACTCATGCTGGGAGTCACTCACTCACTCACTCATGCTGTCAGTCACTCTCTCATGCTGTCAGTCACTCACTCACTCATGCTGTCAGTCACTCACTCACTCATGCTGTCAGTCACTCACTCACTCATGGTGTCAGTCACTCACTCACTCATGCTGTCAGTCACTCACTCACTCACTCATGCTGGGAGTCACTCACTCACTCACTCATGCTGTCAGTCACTCTCTCACTCATGCTGTCTGTCACTCACTCACTCATGCTGTCAGTCACTCACTCACTCATGCTGTCAGTCACTCACTCACTCATGCTGTCAGTCACTCACTCACTCATGCTGTCAGTCACTCACTCACTCATGCTGTCAGTCATTCACTCACTCATGCTGGGAGTCACTCACTCACTCACTCATGCTGTCACTCACTCTCTCACTCATGCTGTCAGTCACTCACTCACTCATGCTGTCAGTCACTCACTCACTCATGCTGTCAGTCACTCACTCACTCACTCATGCTGTCAGTCACTCTCTCACTCATGCTGTCAGACACTCACTCACTCATGCTGTCACTCACTCACTCACTCACTCATGCTATCAGTCACTCACTCACTCATGCTCTCAGTCACTCACTCACTCATGCTGTCAGTCACTCACTCACTCATGCTGTGAGTCACTCACTCACTCACTCATGCTGGGAGTCACTCACTCACTCACTCATGCTGTCAGTCACTCTCTCACTCATGCTGTCAGTCACTCACTCACTCATGCTGTCAGTCACTCACTCACTCATGCTGTCAGTCACTCACTCACTTATGCTGTCAGTCACTCACTCACTTACGCTGTCAGTCACTCACTCACTCATGCTGTCAGTCACTCCGTCACTCACTCATGCTGTGAGTCACTCACTCACTCACTCGCTCATGCTGTCAGTCACTCACTCACTCATGCTGTCACTCACTCACTCACTCATGCTGTCAGTCACTCACTCACTCATGCTGTCAGTCAGTCACTCACTCATGCTGTCAGTCACTCACTCACTCATGCTGTCAGTCACTTACTCACTCATGCTGTCAGTCACTCACTCACTCATGCTGTCAGTCACTCACTCACTCACTCATGCTGTCAGTCACTCACTCACTCATGCTGTCAGTCACTCACTCACTCACTCATGCTGTCAGTCACTCACTCACTCTCTCATGCTGTCAGTCACTCACTCACTCATGCTGTCAGTCACTCACTCACTCATGCTGTCAGTCACTCACTCACTCATGCTGTCAGTCACTCACTCACTCATGCTGTCAGTCACTCACTCACTCACTCATGCTGGGAGTCACTCACTCACTCACTCATGCTGTCAGTCACTCTCTCACTCATGCTGTCTGTCACTCACTCACTCATGCTGTCAGTCACTCACTCACTCATGCTGTCAGTCACTCACTCACTCATGCTGTCAGTCACTCACTCACTCATGCTGTCAGTCACTCACTCACTCATGCTGTCAGTCACTCACTCACTCATGCTGTCAGTCATTCACTCACTCATGCTGGGAGTCACTCACTCACTCACTCATGCTGTCAGTCACTCTCTCACTCATGCTGTCAGTCACTCACTCACTCATGCTGTCAGTCACTCACTCACTCATGCTGTCAGTCACTCACTCACTCACTCATGCTGTCAGTCACTCTCTCACTCATGCTGTCAGACACTCACTCACTCATGCTGTCACTCACTCACTCACTCACTCATGCTATCAATCACTCACTCACTCATGCTCTCAGTCACTCACTCACTCATGCTGTCAGTCACTCACTCACTCATGCTGTGAGTCACTCACTCACTCACTCATGCTGTCAGTCACTCTCTCACTCATGCTGTCTGTCACTCACTCACTCATGCTGTCACTCACTCACTCACTCATGCTGGGAGTCACTCACTCACTCACTCATGCTGTCAGTCACTCTCTCACTCATGCTGTCAGTCACTCACTCACTCATGCTGTCAGTCACTCACTCACTCATGCTGTCAGTCACTCACTCACTCATGCTGTCAGTCACTCACTCACTCACTCATGCTGTCACTCACTCACTCACTCATGCTGTCAGTCACTTACTCACTCATGCTGTCAGTCACTCACTCACTCATGCTGTCAGTCACTCACTCACTCACTCATGCTGTCAGTCACTCACTCACTCATGCTGTCAGTCACTCACTCACTCATGCTGTCAGTCACTCACTCAGTTACGCTGTCAGTCACTCACTCACTCATGCTGTCAGTCACTCCGTCACTCACTCATGCTGTGAGTCACTCACTCACTCACTCGCTCATGCTGTCAGTCACTCACTCACTCATGCTGTCACTCACTCACTCACTCATGCTGTCAGTCACTCACTCACTCATGCTGTCAGTCAGTCACTCACTCATGCTGTCAGTCACTCACTCACTCATGCTGTCAGTCACTTACTCACTCATGCTGTCAGTCACTCACTCACTCATGCTGTCAGTCACTCACTCACTCACTCATGCTGTCAGTCACTCACTCACTCTCTCATGCTGTCAGTCACTCACTCACTCATGCTGTCAGTCACTCACTCACTCATGCTGTCAGTCACTCACTCACTCATGCTGTCAGTCACTCACTCACTCATGCTGTCAGTCACTCACTCACTCACTCATGCTGGGAGTCACTCACTCACTCACTCATGCTGTCAGTCACTCTCTCACTCATGCTGTCTGTCACTCACTCACTCATGCTGTCAGTCACTCACTCACTCATGCTGTCAGTCACTCACTCACTCATGCTGTCAGTCACTCACTCACTCATGCTGTCAGTCACTCACTCACTCATGCTGTCAGTCACTCACTCACTCATGCTGTCAGTCATTCACTCACTCATGCTGGGAGTCACTCACTCACTCACTCATGCTGTCAGTCACTCTCTCACTCATGCTGTCAGTCACTCACTCACTCATGCTGTCAGTCACTCACTCACTCATGCTGTCAGTCACTCACTCACTCACTCATGCTGTCAGTCACTCTCTCACTCATGCTGTCAGACACTCACTCACTCATGCTGTCACTCACTCACTCACTCACTCATGCTATCAATCACTCACTCACTCATGCTCTCAGTCACTCACTCACTCATGCTGTCAGTCACTCACTCACTCATGCTGTGAGTCACTCACTCACTCACTCATGCTGTCAGTCACTCTCTCACTCATGCTGTCTGTCACTCACTCACTCATGCTGTCACTCACTCACTCACTCATGCTGGGAGTCACTCACTCACTCACTCATGCTGTCAGTCACTCTCTCACTCATGCTGTCAGTCACTCACTCACTCATGCTGTCAGTCACTCACTCACTCATGCTGTCAGTCACTCACTCACTCATGCTGTCAGTCACTCACTCACTCACTCATGCTGTCACTCACTCACTCACTCATGCTGTCAGTCACTTACTCACTCATGCTGTCAGTCACTCACTCACTCATGCTGTCAGTCACTCACTCACTCACTCATGCTGTCAGTCACTCACTCACTCATGCTGTCAGTCACTCACTCACTCATGCTGTCAGTCACTCACTCAGTTACGCTGTCAGTCACTCACTCACTCATGCTGTCAGTCACTCCGTCACTCACTCATGCTGTGAGTCACTCACTCACTCACTCGCTCATGCTGTCAGTCACTCACTCACTCATGCTGTCACTCACTCACTCACTCATGCTGTCAGTCACTCACTCACTCATGCTGTCAGTCAGTCACTCACTCATGCTGTCAGTCACTCACTCACTCATGCTGTCAGTCACTTACTCACTCATGCTGTCAGTCACTCACTCACTCATGCTGTCAGTCACTCACTCACTCACTCATGCTGTCAGTCACTCACTCACTCTCTCATGCTGTCAGTCACTCACTCACTCATGCTGTCAGTCACTCACTCACTCATGCTGTCAGTCACTCACTCACTCATGGTGTCAGTCACTCACTCACTCATGCTGTCAGTCACTCACTCACTCACTCATGCTGGGAGTCACTCACTCACTCACTCATGCTGTCAGTCACTCTTTCACTCATGCTGTCTGTCACTCACTCACTCATGCTGTCAGTCACTCACTCACTCATGCTGTCAGTCACTCACTCACTCATGCTGTCAGTCACTCACTCACTCATGCTGTCAGTCACTCACTCACTCATGCTGTCAGTCATTCACTCACTCATGCTGGGAGTCACTCACTCACTCACTCATGCTGTCAGTCACTCTCTCATGCTGTCAGTCACTCACTCACTCATGCTGTCAGTCACTCACTCACTCATGCTGTCAGTCACTCACTCACTCATGGTGTCAGTCACTCACTCACTCATGCTGTCAGTCACTCACTCACTCACTCATGCTGGGAGTCACTCACTCACTCACTCATGCTGTCAGTCACTCTCTCACTCATGCTGTCTGTCACTCACTCACTCATGCTGTCAGTCACTCACTCACTCATGCTGTCAGTCACTCACTCACTCATGCTGTCAGTCACTCACTCACTCATGCTGTCAGTCACTCACTCACTCATGCTGTCAGTCATTCACTCACTCATGCTGGGAGTCACTCACTCACTCACTCATGCTGTCAGTCACTCTCTCACTCATGCTGTCAGTCACTCACTCACTCATGCTGTCAGTCACTCACTCACTCATGCTGTCAGTCACTCACTCACTCACTCATGCTGTCAGTCACTCTCTCACTCATGCTGTCAGACACTCACTCACTCATGCTGTCACTCACTCACTCACTCACTCATGCTATCAGTCACTCACTCACTCATGCTCTCAGTCACTCACTCACTCATGCTGTCAGTCACTCACTCACTCATGCTGTGAGTCACTCACTCACTCACTCATGCTGGGAGTCACTCACTCACTCACTCATGCTGTCAGTCACTCTCTCACTCATGCTGTCAGTCACTCACTCACTCATGCTGTCAGTCACTCACTCACTCATGCTGTCAGTCACTCACTCACTCATGCTGTCAGTCACTCACTCACTTACGCTGTCAGTCACTCACTCACTCATGCTGTCAGTCACTCCGTCACTCACTCATGCTGTGAGTCACTCACTCACTCACTCGCTCATGCTGTCAGTCACTCACTCACTCATGCTGTCACTCACTCACTCACTCATGCTGTCAGTCACTCACTCACTCATGCTGTCAGTCAGTCACTCACTCATGCTGTCAGTCACTCACTCACTCATGCTGTCAGTCACTTACTCACTCATGCTGTCAGTCACTCACTCACTCATGCTGTCAGTCACTCACTCACTCACTCATGCTGTCAGTCACTCACTCACTCTCTCATGCTGTCAGTCACTCACTCACTCATGCTGTCAGTCACTCACTCACTCATGCTGTCAGTCACTCACTCACTCATGGTGTCAGTCACTCACTCACTCATGCTGTCAGTCACTCACTCACTCACTCATGCTGGGAGTCACTCACTCACTCACTCATGCTGTCAGTCACTCTCTCACTCATGCTGTCTGTCACTCACTCACTCATGCTGTCAGTCACTCACTCACTCATGCTGTCAGTCAGTCACTCACTCATGCTGTCAGTCACTCACTCACTCATGCTGTCGGTCACTCACTCACTCATGCTGTCAGTCATTCACTCACTCATGCTGGGAGTCACTCACTCACTCACTCATGCTGTCAGTCACTCTCTCACTCATGCTATCAGTCACTCACTCACTCATGCTGTCAGTCACTCACTCACTCATGCTGTCAGTCACTCACTCACTCATGCTGTGAGTCACTCACTCACTCACTCATGCTGGGAGTCACTCACTCACTCACTCATGCTGTCAGTCACTCTCTCACTCATGCTGTCAGTCACTCACTCACTCATGCTGTCAGTCACTCACTCACTCATGCTGTCAGTCACTCCGTCACTCACTCATGCTGTCAGTCACTCACTCACTCATGCTGTCAGTCATTCACTATCTCACTCATGCTGTCAGTCACTCACTCACTCTCTCATGCTGTCAGTCACTCACTCACTCATGCTGTCAGTCACTCACTCACTCATGCTGTCAGTCACTCACTCACTCATGGTGTCAGTCACTCACTCACTCATGCTGTCAGTCACTCACTCACTCACTCATGCTGGGAGTCACTCACTCACTCACTCATGCTGTCAGTCACTCTCTCACTCATGCTGTCTGTCACTCACTCACTCATGCTGTCAGTCACTCACTCACTCATGCTGTCAGTCACTCCGTCACTCACTCATGCTGTGAGTCACTCACTCACTCACTCGCTCATGCTGTCAGTCACTCACTCACTCATGCTGTCACTCACTCACTCACTCATGCTGTCAGTCACTCACTCACTCATGCTGTCAGTCAGTCACTCACTCATGCTGTCAGTCACTCACTCACTCATGCTGTCAGTCACTTACTCACTCATGCTGTCAGTCACTCACTCACTCATGCTGTCAGTCACTCACTCACTCACTCATGCTGTCAGTCACTCACTCACTCTCTCATGCTGTCAGTCACTCACTCACTCATGCTGTCAGTCACTCACTCACTCATGCTGTCAGTCACTCACTCACTCATGGTGTCAGTCACTCACTCACTCATGCTGTCAGTCACTCACTCACTCACTCATGCTGGGAGTCACTCACTCACTCACTCATGCTGTCAGTCACTCTCTCACTCATGCTGTCTGTCACTCACTCACTCATGCTGTCAGTCACTCACTCACTCATGCTGTCAGTCAGTCACTCACTCATGCTGTCAGTCACTCACTCACTCATGCTGTCGGTCACTCACTCACTCATGCTGTCAGTCATTCACTCACTCATGCTGGGAGTCACTCACTCACTCACTCATGCTGTCAGTCACTCTCTCACTCATGCTATCAGTCACTCACTCACTCATGCTGTCAGTCACTCACTCACTCATGCTGTCAGTCACTCACTCACTCATGCTGTGAGTCACTCACTCACTCACTCATGCTGGGAGTCACTCACTCACTCACTCATGCTGTCAGTCACTCTCTCACTCATGCTGTCAGTCACTCACTCACTCATGCTGTCAGTCACTCACTCACTCATGCTGTCAGTCACTCCGTCACTCACTCATGCTGTCAGTCACTCACTCACTCATGCTGTCAGTCACTCACTCACTCACTCATGCTGTCAGTCACTCACTCACTCTCTCATGCTGTCAGTCACTCACTCACTCATGCTGTCAGTCACTCACTCACTCATGCTGTCAGTCACTCACTCACTCATGGTGTCAGTCACTCACTCACTCATGCTGTCAGTCACTCACTCACTCACTCATGCTGGGAGTCACTCACTCACTCACTCATGCTGTCAGTCACTCTCTCACTCATGCTGTCTGTCACTCACTCACTCATGCTGTCAGTCACTCACTCACTCATGCTGTCAGTCACTCACTCACTCATGCTGTCAGTCACTCACTCACTCATGCTGTCGATCACTCACTCACTCATGCTGTCAGTCATTCACTCACTCATGCTGGGAGTCACTCACTCACTCACTCATGCTGTCAGTCACTCTCTCACTCATGCTATCAGTCACTCACTCACTCATGCTGTCAGTCACTCACTCACTCATGCTGTCAGTCACTCACTCACTCATGCTGTGAGTCACTCACTCACTCACTCATGCTGGGAGTCACTCACTCACTCACTCATGCTGTCAGTCACTCTCTCACTCATGCTGTCAGTCACTCACTCACTCATGCTGTCAGTCACTCACTCACTCATGCTGTCAGTCACTCCGTCACTCACTCATGCTGTCAGTCACTCACTCACTCACTCATGCTGTCACTCACTCACTCACTCATGCTGTCACTCACTCACTCACTCATGCTGTCAGTCACTCACTCACTCATGCTGTCAGTCACTCACTCACTCATGCTGTCAGTCACTCACTCACTTACGCTGTCAGTCACTCACTCACTCATGCTGTCAGTCACTCCGTCACTCACTCATGCTGTGAGTCACTCACTCACTCACTCGCTCATGCTGTCAGTCACTCACTCACTCATGCTGTCACTCACTCACTCACTCATGCTGTCAGTCACTCACTCACTCATGCTGTCAGTCACTCACTCACTCATGCTGTCAGTCACTCACTCACTTACGCTGTCAGTCACTCACTCACTCATGCTGTCAGTCACTCCGTCACTCACTCATGCTGTGAGTCACTCACTCACTCACTCGCTCATGCTGTCAGTCACTCACTCACTCATGCTGTCACTCACTCACTCACTCATGCTGTCAGTCACTCACTCACTCATGCTGTCAGTCAGTCACTCACTCATGCTGTCAGTCACTCACTCACTCATGCTGTCAGTCACTTACTCACTCACTTATGAAAGAGTTTCCTCCCTCACCCCGTAGGTCCTCCCATAGTGGAGTGCCACCGGATGCTAGATCTGAGGTAACAGCTTTCCACTAATATGAGAGAATAACAAGAGAAAAGCATCGGGTGTGTGTGAGAGAGTGAATTTACCTGGCCCAGGCTCGAACCGTGCATTTCTCAATGTGCGGCTCGAGCCTGGGTTGGTTTGTTCACATTGGTTCCTTGGATTCCACCCCTCGGTGCTCTCCTACCCACCTCGCGTCAGTTTCCCTGGTCCCCAACTACCTGCCCTGCAATGTGCACACTCAACATTGCTACACCATAACTACACCGCATACTCTGGCACCTTATATGCATAATCATGCATATTCGGTGACAGCTGTCGGAAAACTGCTATTGCCAGCCATCTGCCCTTCCTTCTGTCCTTCTTGCTCTTCTCTGTTCCTGTCCTGCCTCAGCCACTCTCTGCCCCCTCCTGTGCCCGTGCTCGAGCAGCTTGAGCGCGGGTCACAGGACCAGCACGCTGAGGCCCTGTCCCTCTGATCACAGCTGTGTTCGGCTGGTGCTCCTTCAACTGTGCCCCCTTCTCATTGTCCAGTACCAGCACCCCTGAGGGGCGCACCCCCTTGACCTTCCATCGCACAGTCCCCAACCCCACATCCAGTGTGTCCTGCTTCGAGCTCTTCAGGGATACCTCCTGTCCTTCACAGACTCCCTTTGGCACTCTCCCCTCTCCCTTGCGTTGCCTCTGCTTTACCCTGCCCTTCCCCACCGCTTGTAAGGCCAATCACCTCCTGTTCACTCGTGCCGTTGTCCTTACTGGCTCTAAAATGCCCTGCACCTTCCTCCCCCAAGCCCGTCCCACACCGGCTATTTCCTCCTGCAGATATTGGGAGGGCACCAAGTTCTGCCGGCACGTCCTGAGCCGATGAGCTCGTGCCCCCACCTTTGCTGTACCATCTCTCGCCCCCAGTCCCATCTGCTGTGTGACCCTCTTCCTCACCTGTCGTGTGGGCTCTCGGCTTTCCCCTTTGAAATCCAAAAATTCTACTCGGAACACTATGCTGCCCTGCCTCTCCTGCAGCCGTTTCATGATGTGAAACCGGTTCTCTATTAGTTTCGTGCGAAGGTCCCTTTCTCCTAGCCCCATCCCTGCTCGAGAAACACCCTGGCATTCCCAATTTGCTACCAACAACTCCACCTGCCCCCAGCTCGCCGCTTCCGCCTTTGTCACAATCTTCACAACAGGATCCCTTCTCCCCATCACCTCTTGCACCACTTCCCTGCTCAACAATTCTAGGGACTTCTCGTGCAGCCTCCACCCGGCATGGTGCTCTGCCATCTTCCTTACGACGGGCTCCTTGTCCTGGTAAATCCACTGCTTTACTGCGTTTCCATGCTTTATCACTGCCGCCGACCCTGCTCCTATCCCGCCCAACAGTTTGACCTGACGGATGGGCTGCTGCCAGTTACTCTGCTGGCCCTGCTTCCCCACGGTCTTCATCTTTCCCTCCTCCTGTCTTTCCACCCCTCCTTGTGCATCCTGTTTCCTTGCCCCCTGTTTCTTCCCTGTCAATGGTGTCAGTTTAGTCGGAGCACGAGTGCTTTCCATCCAATCAAGTTCTCCCGTTTCTGCCATCGCTGCTGATACACAAGCTTCTGCCCCCACCTGCTCGTCTCGTTCCTCTGCTCCCGTTGCTGCTGATATACACGCTCGTGCCTCCATCCCCTCATCTTTCCTTTCCGCTTTCGCTACTGCTGATGTGCATGCCTGTGCCCACACCTTCCCTTCTTTCCCTTCCGTTCTCACTGGAGCACATGCCCATGCCCCCACCTTCTCGTTCTCCCTGTCCGCTTCCGCCGCTGCTGGTACACACGCCTGTGTTCTCACCTTCTCTTCTCTCCCTTCCGGTTCTACTACTTCTGGTGTGCACGTCTGTGCCCCCACCCTCTCTGCCTTGCTTTCCGCTTCTGCTACTGCTGGCATACCCTTCTGTGCCCCCTGTTTCTTCCCTGGCAATAGTGTTAGTCCAGTCGGAGCATGGGTGCTTGCCATCCACTCAAGTTCCCCCGTTTCTGCCGTCGTCACAACCATCCCCTTTGCTAGCTGCTTCTCTGGTGCTATCAGTCCCAGTTCTTCTGCCATGACCTTCCCCAACTTCCTACTCCGTGCTCCAGTGTCTGTGATCACCGTCTTGTCCTTCTCCCCCTCCATTGCCGTCGCCCCATTTCTCACCACCAGTGCTGAAATCTGGCTTACTAGCCCGTCCGGCGGGTGGCGAGCCACAACGTCCTTTGGAGTTGGCTCCTCTGCCTGCTGCCCCTTCTCTCCTCCTTTTTGTCGGTGCTCCTGCTGGCTGTCCTCCCCTCCACTGCGTAGTCCCATCTCTTCCCTTCCCCTCCAGGCCATATACGCGCGTTGCACGTCCTGCCCTACTTCCCCGTCATCCCCATCTCTGGCGCTCGTTCCTGCCTCCGCTTCCTGCCTTGGTCTGAGTGCCTGCAGCTGTGCTTGTAGCCGTTTGAGCTCTTCCGGGTTCCCCTTTGCTGTCCCCTCCCGTTGGTAGCAGTCCTTCGCCTCACGTCCCTTCTTGCTGTAGATTTCACACCCTGATGGATCTGGGCACTCTCTCCTCAAGTGTCCCGGCTTCCCACAGCAATCACAGTTCTTGCAATCTCTCCTAACGTGTCCCGACTGTCCGCATCTGTAGCAGGTCCTGTTCTCTGCCCTACCATCCCCTCGTCCCTCTGACCTTCCCCTATCCTCAGCCATCCTTACTGCTGCCCATGTCGGTTCTCGGCTCTTCTCTGTCGTTCGGGGCCGGTATGCTTCATACTTCCTCTGCGCAAGCTCCATCTTCTCCGCTAACTCAAACACCTCATCTAGTGTCGCGTCTGCCCCCAGTGTGTAAACCTTCATTCGCAGCCCATTCCCCATGGTATTGTCCAGCCCATCGAGGAATTTGCTAACGAGTAGGCCCATATCTGAGCATGTCACATCCTCCGCCACATTGATCAGCCTGTTGTAGTAGGTGAGCAACGACTCGCTCCACCCCCTCCTGAAATCCTGAAACTCTCTTATCCGCTCTGCTGTATTTCCAGGAAACTGCCGCTGCAGCCGCCTCAGGAATGCCTCCGTGGGGTCTTCCCCATACCTCCATGCCTTCTCCAGTAGCTCGTCCATCTTCATCCTGTACAACGTTTCTGCCTCCCCTTCCAATGTATTCGGCAGACTCAGGAAGAAGTCCACCGAGTCCATGCCGCTCCTCTCGCATCTGTACCTCACACTCCCCACTTGCATTAGGTAGTTCTTAAGTGTAGGCCCCGTGTGCTGATCTCCCGAGAATCGCGCCGGCACTTCCACTCGCGTGGCCATCGTTATGCTCCCCCAACCGTCTCCCCATGGTTCAATCAGTCCTCTCGTCTGCCTTCTTGATGACTCCCTATCCCTTGCCCTCTCGATTCCTTCCCTTGCCTCTGTGGCGCACTCCGTGCTGTACGCCAGACCGCCGCCTCCCCTTTTGCTTCTGCGCTGGTCCTGTCCCGCCTCGCTTCGCAGGTCCTCCGCACTCATCCGTGCTCCTGCTCGCCCCCACTGCCGCTCTGGCGAGCAATGCGCCCTCGCCCAGCCTTCTCTATGCGTTCCTCGCTGCCAGTGCCTCTCGGGCGAAGGGGATCTCTCGTCCCTTCTCCCTCCGTGCCCGCGGCGACTGTCTTGCAGATGCCACTCCTCCTCCCATCTCCCTCCCTGCTTGCGCTGCAGACCTGGCGAACGTGTCTCACCCCTTGCCCTTCCCGCGTAGTGCCGCCACGGATCAGGTGAGCCAGACCCGCCAGTCTGTCGTCTATCATGTTGCCCATGCCGATCAGGCGAGCGCAACCCGCCCCCCTGCCTCCCATCATGGTGCTGACGCACCTCAGGCGAGCGCGACCCTCCGTTCCGCCCTCCTCCGCGCTGCCAACGCGGATCAGGTGAGAACTCGTCCTCGCGCACTTCCTGTTGCTCCTCCGCCCGCCCCCGCTGCTGCTCTGATGAGTGATTCACCTTCTCACGCCTCTCCTGCTTCCTGCGTCGGCGCCGCTCCAGATTATACCCATATTCCTCCTCTTCACTATACTCATGTTCCTTCGCTTCACACAGCTCCTCATCACTCCTTTTCGTCTTCTCCCTCCCTTCCTTACCCTCAGGGGAATCTTCTTGACACCGCCTCCCTCGTCCGCCTGCTCCTCGGCGCCCATGATATTCTCTTACCCTTCCCTTGGCACTTCCCGAGTCCTTCCTTGGGGACACATCTCGCTGGCAGCGCTCTTCCTCATCCCTCCTCCTGTGTCTCTCTCTCTCTTGTCTCCCCCTTGCCTCTCCGTCAGGCTCCAGCACCAACCCTGCTCCTGCGCACGGGTACTCTTTCATTCCTTTACGGCGTGCTCTCGCATCCGCCCCCGCGATGTACTGCGACAAACACTCACTCCCCTTAACACGCGCTTCCCCCTCCTCCTGCCGCTGCCGTGCGGGCGAGCGCTGCGCGTGCCCCCTACCGCGGTCGTTCCCCCTTTCCTCTCGCCGCAGCTCTGGTGATCGCCCTCCACCCAACGCCAGGCGCCTCCTGCGCTCGTGTCCGCGTCTTGGTTCAGGCGAGCCATACATACCCGCCTGCGCGTCTCGCCTCCTCATTTCCTCACGGCTGGCTTCTGGCGCGCGCTCAGCCTCCTTGTCTTCGCCGTGCCTTGCGTTACTTCCGCGCATCCTGCCTGGCGAGCGATTTGCATCCGTGCTCCCCCGGCGCCCCGCGCCATTCTCAAGCATTTCGCCCACCGACCCGTCTGCATCCGCGCTACCGCGGCGCCTCGCGCCATCCCTGCGCATTTCGCCCGTCGAATCGTCTGAATCCGCGCTCCCGCGGCGCCTTACGCTGCCGTCACCCATTTCGTCCGCCGCGCGACCTGAATCCGCGCTTCCATGGCGCCTTACGCTGCCGTCACCCATTTCGTCCGCCACACGACCTGAATCCGCGCTTCCCTGGCGCCTTACGCTGCCGTCACCCATTTCGTCCGCCGCGCGACCTGAATCCGCGCTTCCCTGGCGCCTTACGCTGCCGTCACCCATTTCGTCCGCCGCGCGACCTGAATCCGTGCTTCCCTGGCGCCTTACGCTGCCGTCACCCATTTCGTCCGCCGCGCGACCTGAATCCGCGCTTCCCTGGCGCCTTACGCTGCCGTCACCCATTTCGTCCGCCGCGCGACCTGAATCCGCGCTTCCCTGGCGCCTTACGCTGCCGTCACCCATTTCGTCCGCCGCGCGACCTGAATCCGCGCTTCCATGGCGCCTTACGCTGCCGTCACCCATTTCGTCCGCCGCGCGACCTGAATCCGCACTCCCCTGGCGCCTTACGCTGCCGTCACCCATTTCGTCCGCCGCGCGACCTGCATCCGCGCTTCCGCGGCGCCTTGCGCTGCCTCCGCGCATCCCTTCCGGCGAGCCACTTGCTCCCGCGTCCTTGCTCCCGTCGTCGCGCTCTTCTTCCGCGCCTTTTTCCTCTTCACCAACCCGCACCATCGGGATCTGGTGTGTTTCTTCCTCGCCGTCGGCCTCGTTTGCCGAATCCGACGAGTCCACCACGTCCGCGTCGTCGCGACGCCTTACACCCTCTCCTTGCTGGCCGCGTGCCAGATTCCAAGGGTCACCGCTGGACGGTTGAGGCCTGGGCTCCGATCCCGCGTGCAGATCGTCCTCGCCTCCATCTCGACGCCCTTCAACGTGCAGATCTGCGCGGTCCGCCGCCCTCCTTGGCGACCACTCCCACGATCTTCCTCGCTCCTGCGAGCGCGTCCTCCGCGACGGCGGCGTTTCCCGACGCGAGTACATCTGCTGCCAGCGCAGCTCGTGGCAGTCCATACTGCCCAAACGTTCTCTCGGCTTTTCTCCTGTTATGAAAGAGTTTCCTCCCTCACCCCGTAGGTCCTCCCATAGTGGAGTGCCACCGGATGCTGGATCTGAGGTAACAGCTTTCCACTAATATGAGAGAATAACAAGAGAAAAGCATCGGGTGTGTGTGAGAGAGTGAATTTACCTGGCCCAGGCTCGAACCGTGCATTTCTCAATGTGTGGCTCGAGCCTGGGTTGGTTTGTTCACATTGGTTCCTTGGATTCCACCCCTCGGTGCTCTCCTACCCACCTCGCGTCAGTTTCCCTGGTCCCCAACTACCTGCCCTGCAATGTGCACACTCAACATTGCTACACCATAACTACACCGCATACTCTGGCACCTTATATGCATAATCATGCATATTCGGCGACACAGTCACTCACTCACTCATGCTGTCAGTCACTCACTCACTCACTCATGCTGTCAGTCACTCACTCACTCTCTCATGCTGTCAGTCACTCACTCACTCATGCTGTCAGTCACTCACTCACTCATGCTGTCAGTCACTCACTCACTCATGGTGTCTGTCACTCACTCACTCATGCTGTCAGTCACTCACTCACTCACTCATGCTGGGAGTCACTCACTCACTCACTCATGCTGTCAGTCACTCTCTCACTCATGCTGTCAGTCACTCACTCACTCATGCTGTCAGTCACTCACTCACTCATGCTGTCAGTCACTCACTCACTCACTCATGCTGTCAGTCACTCTCTCACTCATGCTGTCAGACACTCACTCACTCATGCTGTCACTCACTCACTCACTCACTCATGCTATCAGTCACTCACTCACTCATGCTCTCAGTCACTCACTCACTCATGCTGTCAGTCACTCACTCACTCATGCTGTGAGTCACTCACTCACTCACTCATGCTGGGAGTCACTCACTCACTCACTCATGCTGTCAGTCACTCTCTCACTCATGCTGTCAGTCACTCACTCACTCATGCTGTCAGTCACTCACTCACTCATGCTGTCAGTCACTCACTCACTCACTCATGCTGTCACTCACTCACTCACTCATGCTGTCACTCACTCACTCACTCATGCTGTCAGTCACTCCGTCACTCACTCATGCTGTGAGTCACTCACTCACTCACTCGCTCATGCTGTCAGTCACTCACTCACTCATGCTGTCACTCACTCACTCACTCATGCTGTCAGTCACTCACTCACTCATGCTCTCAGTCACTCACTCACTCATGCTGTCAGTCACTCTCTCACTCATGCTGTCAGTCACTCACTCACTCATGCTGTCAGTCACTCACTCACTCGTGCTGTCAGTCACTCACTCACTCACTCATGCTATCAGTCACTAACTCACTCATGCTGTCAATCACTCACTCACTCATGCTGTCAGTCACTCACTCACTCATGCTGTCAGTCACTCACTCACTCATGCTGTCAGTCACTCACTCACTCACTCATGCTGTGAGTCACTCACTCACTCACTCGCTCATGCTGTCAGTCACTCACTCACTCATGCTGTCACTCAGTCACTCACTCATGCTGTCAGTCACTCACTCACTCATGCTGTCAGTCAGTCACTCACTCATGCTGTCAGTCACTCACTCACTCATGCTGTCAGTCACTTACTCATGCTGTCAGTCACTCACTCACTCATGCTGTCAGTCACTCACTCACTCACTCGTGCTGTCAGTCACTCACTCACTCACTCATGCTGTCAGTCACTCACTCACTCATGCTGTCAGTCACTCACTCACTCATGCTGTCAGTCACTCACTCACTCATGCTGTCAGTCACCCACTCACTCATGCTGTCAGTCACTCACTCACTCATGCTGTCAGACACTCACTCACTCATGCTGTCACTCACTCACTCACTCACTCATGCTATCAGTCACTCACTCACTCATGCTCTCAGTCACTCACTCATGCTGTCAGTCACTCACTCACTCATGCTGTGAGTCACTCACTCACTCACTCATGCTGGGAGTCACTCACTCACTCACTCATGATGTCAGTCACTCACTCTCTCATGCTGTCAGTCACTCACTCACTCATGCTGTCAGTCACTCACTCACTCATGCTGTCAGTCACTCACTCACTCATGCTGTCAGTCACTCACTCACTCATGCTGTCAGTCACCCACTCACTCATGCTGTCAGTCACTCACTCACTCATGCTGTCAGTCACTCACTCACTCATGCTGTCAGTCACTCACTCACTCATGCTGTCAGTCACTCACCCACTCATGCTATCAGTCACTCACTCACTCATGCTGTCAGTCACTCACTCACTCATGCTGTCAGTCACCCACTCACTCATGCTGTCAGTCACTCACTCACTCATGCTGTCAGTCACTCACTCACTCATGCTGTCAGTCACTCACTCACTCATGCTGTCAGTCACTCACTCACTCATGCTGTCAGTCACTCACCCACTCATGCTGTCAGTCACTCACTCACTCATGCTGTCAGTCACTCACTCACTCATGCTGTCAGTCACTCACTCACTCATGCTATCAGTCACTCACTCAATCATGCTGTCAGTCACTCACTCACTCACTCATGCTGGGAGTCACTCACTCACTCACTCATGCTGTCAGTCACTCTCTCACTCATGCTGTCAGTCACTCACTCACTCATGCTGTCAGTCACTCACTCACTCATGCTGTCAGTCACTCACTCACTCACTCATGCTGTCACTCACTCACTCACTCATACTGTGAGTCACTCACTCACTCATGCTGTCAGTCACTCACTCACTCATGCTGTCAGTCACTCACTCACTCACTCATGCTGGGAGTCACTCCCTCACTCTCTCATGCTGTCAGTCACTCACTCACTCATGCTGTCAGTCACTCACTCACTCATGCTGTCAGTCACTCACTCACTCATGCTGTCAGTCACTCACTCACTCATGCTGTCAGTCACTCACTCACTCACTCATGCTGGGAGTCACTCCCTCACTCACTCATGCTGTCAGTCACTCTCTCATTCATGCTGTCAGTCACTCACCCACTCATGCTGTCAGTCACTCACTCACTCATGCTGTCAGTCACTCACTCACTCATGCTGTCAGTCACCCACTCACTCATGCTGTCAGTCACTCACTCACTCATGCTGTCAGTCACTCACTCACTCATGCTGTCAGTCACTCACTCACTCATGCTGTCAGTCACTCACTCACTCATGCTGTCAGTCACTCACCCACTCATGCTGTCAGTCACTCACTCACTCATGCTGTCAGTCACTCACTCACTCATGCTGTCAGACACTCACTCACTCATGCTGTCACTCACTCACTCACTCACTCATGCTATCAGTCACTCACTCACTCATGCTCTCAGTCACTCACTCATGCTGTCAGTCACTCACTCACTCATGCTGTGAGTCACTCACTCACTCACTCATGCTGGGAGTCACTCACTCACTCACTCATGATGTCAGTCACTCACTCTCTCATGCTGTCAGTCACTCACTCACTCATGCTGTCAGTCACTCACTCACTCATGCTGTCAGTCACTCACTCACTCACTCATGCTGTCACTCACTCACTCACTCATGCTGTCACTCACTCACTCACTCATGCTGTCAGTCACTCACTCACTCATGCTGTCAGTCACTCACTCACTCATGCTGTTAGTCACTCACTCACTTATGCTGTCAGTCACTCACTCACTCATGCTGTGAGTCACTCACTCACTCACTCGCTCATGCTGTCAGACACTCACTCACTCATGCTGTCACTCACTCAGTCACTCACTCATGCTATCAGTCACTCACTCACTCATGCTCTCAGTCACTCACTCACTCATGCTGTCAGTCACTCACTCACTCATGCTGTGAGTCACTCACTCACTCACTCATGCTGGGAGTCACTCACTCACTCACTCATGCTGTCAGTCACTCTCTCACTCATGCTGTCAGTCACTCACTCACTCATGCTGTCAGTCACTCACTCACTCATGCTGTCAATCACTCACTCACTCACTCATGCTGGGAGTCACTCCCTCACTCTCTCATGCTGTCAGTCACTCACTCACTCATGCTGTCAGTCACTCACTCACTCATGCTGTCAGTCACTCACTCACTCATGCTGTCAGTCACTCACTCACTCATGCTGTCAGTCACTCACTCACTCACTCATGCTGGGAGTCACTCCCTCACTCACTCATGCTGTCAGTCACTCTCTCATTCATGCTGTCAGTCACTCACCCACTCATGCTGTCAGTCACTCACTCACTCATGCTGTCAGTCACTCACTCACTCATGCTGTCAGTCACCCACTCACTCATGCTGTCAGTCACTCACTCACTCATGCTGTCAGTCACTCACTCACTCATGCTGTCAGTCACTCACTCACTCATGCTGTCAGTCACTCACTCACTCATGCTGTCAGTCACTCACCCACTCATGCTGTCAGTCACTCACTCACTCATGCTGTCAGTCACTCACTCACTCATGCTGTCAGACACTCACTCACTCATGCTGTCACTAACTCACTCACTCACTCATGCTATCAGTCACTCACTCACTCATGCTCTCAGTCACTCACTCATGCTGTCAGTCACTCACTCACTCATGCTGTGAGTCACTCACTCACTCACTCATGCTGGGAGTCACTCACTCACTCACTCATGATGTCAGTCACTCACTCTCTCATGCTGTCAGTCACTCACTCACTCATGCTGTCAGTCACTCACTCACTCATGCTGTCAGTCACTCACTCACTCACTCATGCTGTCACTCACTCACTCACTCATGCTGTCACTCACTCACTCACTCATGCTGTCAGTCACTCACTCACTCATGCTGTCAGTCACTCACTCACTCATGCTGTTAGTCACTCACTCACTTATGCTGTCAGTCACTCACTCACTCATGCTGTGAGTCACTCACTCACTCACTCGCTCATGCTGTAAGACACTCACTCACTCATGCTGTCACTCACTCAGTCACTCACTCATGCTATCAGTCACTCACTCACTCATGCTCTCAGTCACTCACTCACTCATGCTGTCAGTCACTCACTCACTCATGCTGTGAGTCACTCACTCACTCACTCATGCTGGGAGTCACTCACTCACTCACTCATGCTGTCAGTCACTCTCTCACTCATGCTGTCAGTCACTCACTCACTCATGCTGTCAGTCACTCACTCACTCATGCTGTCAGTCACTCACTCACTCACTCATGCTGTCACTCACTCACTCACTCATGCTGTCACTCACTCACTCACTCATGCTGTCAGTCACTCCGTCACTCACTCATGCTGTGAGTCACTCACTCACTCACTCGCTCATGCTGTCAGTCACTCACTCACTCATGCTGTCACTCACTCACTCATGCTGTCACTCACTCACTCACTCATGCTGTCAGTCACTCACTCACTCATGCTCTCAGTCACTCACTCACTCATGCTGTCAGTCACTCTCTCACTCATGCTGTCAGTCACTCACTCACTCATGCTGTCAGTCACTCACTCACTCGTGCTGTCAGTCACTCACTCACTCACTCATGCTATCAGTCACTAACTCACTCATGCTGTCAATCACTCACTCACTCATGCTGTCAGTCACTCACTCACTCATGCTGTCAGTCACTCACTCACTCATGCTGTCAGTCACTCACTCACTCACTCATGCTGTGAGTCACTCACTCACTCACTCGCTCATGCTGTCAGTCACTCACTCACTCATGCTGTCACTCAGTCACTCACTCATGCTGTCAGTCACTCACTCACTCATGCTGTCAGTCAGTCACTCACTCATGCTGTCAGTCACTCACTCACTCATGCTGTCAGTCACTTACTCATGCTGTCAGTCACTCACTCACTCATGCTGTCAGTCACTCACTCACTCACTCGTGCTGTCAGTCACTCACTCACTCACTCATGCTGTCAGTCACTCACTCACTCATGCTGTCAGTCACTCACTCACTCATGCTGTCAGTCACTCACTCACTCATGCTGTCAGTCACCCACTCACTCATGCTGTCAGTCACTCACTCACTCATGCTGTCAGTCACTCACTCACTCATGCTGTCAGTCACTCACTCACTCATGCTGTCAGTCACTCACCCACTCATGCTGTCAGTCACTCACTCACTCATGCTGTCAGTCACTCACTCACTCATGCTGTCAGTCACTCACTCACTCATGCTGTCAGTCACTCACTCACTCATGCTGTCAGTCACTCACCCACTCATGCTGTCAGTCACTCACTCACTCATGCTGTCAGTCACTCACTCACTCATGCTGTCAGTCACTCACTCACTCATGCTGTCAGTCACTCACTCAATCATGCTGTCAGTCACTCACTCACTCATGCTGTCACTCACTCACTCACTCATACTGTGAGTCACTCACTCACTCATGCTGTCAGTCACTCACTCACTCATGCTGTCAGTCACTCACTCACTCACTCATGCTGGGAGTCACTCCCTCACTCTCTCATGCTGTCAGTCACTCACTCACTCATGCTGTCAGTCACTCACTCACTCATGCTGTCAGTCACTCACTCACTCATGCTGTCAGTCACTCACTCACTCATGCTGTCAGTCACTCACTCACTCACTCATGCTGGGAGTCACTCCCTCACTCACTCATGCTGTCAGTCACTCTCTCATTCATGCTGTCAGTCACTCACCCACTCATGCTGTCAGTCACTCACTCACTCATGCTGTCAGTCACTCACTCACTCATGCTGTCAGTCACCCACTCACTCATGCTGTCAGTCTCTCACTCACTCATGCTGTCAGTCACTCACTCACTCATGCTGTCAGTCACTCACTCACTCATGCTGTCAGTCACTCACTCACTCATGCTGTCAGTCACTCACCCACTCATGCTGTCAGTCACTCACTCACTCATGCTGTCAGTCACTCACTCACTCATGCTGTCAGACACTCACTCACTCATGCTGTCACTCACTCACTCACTCACTCATGCTATCAGTCACTCACTCACTCATGCTCTCAGTCACTCACTCATGCTGTCAGTCACTCACTCACTCATGCTGTGAGTCACTCACTCACTCACTCATGCTGGGAGTCACTCACTCACTCACTCATGATGTCAGTCACTCACTCTCTCATGCTGTCAGTCACTCACTCACTCATGCTGTCAGTCACTCACTCACTCATGCTGTCAGTCACTCACTCACTCACTCATGCTGTCACTCACTCACTCACTCATGCTGTCACTCACTCACTCACTCATGCTGTCAGTCACTCACTCACTCATGCTGTCAGTCACTCACTCACTCATGCTGTTAGTCACTCACTCACTTATGCTGTCAGTCACTCACTCACTCATGCTGTGAGTCACTCACTCACTCACTCGCTCATGCTGTCAGACACTCACTCACTCATGCTGTCACTCACTCAGTCACTCACTCATGCTATCAGTCACTCACTCACTCATGCTCTCAGTCACTCACTCACTCATGCTGTCAGTCACTCACTCACTCATGCTGTGAGTCACTCACTCACTCACTCATGCTGGGAGTCACTCACTCACTCACTCATGCTGTCAGTCACTCTCTCACTCATGCTGTCAGTCACTCACTCACTCATGCTGTCAGTCACTCACTCACTCATGCTGTCAGTCACTCACTCACTCACTCATGCTGTCACTCACTCACTCACTCATGCTGTCACTCACTCACTCACTCATGCTGTCAGTCACTCCGTCACTCACTCATGCTGTGAGTCACTCACTCACTCACTCGCTCATGCTGTCAGTCACTCACTCACTCATGCTGTCACTCACTCACTCACTCATGCTGTCAGTCACTCACTCACTCATGCTCTCAGTCACTCACTCACTCATGCTGTCAGTCACTCTCTCACTCATGCTGTCAGTCACTCACTCACTCATGCTGTCAGTCACTCACTCACTCATGCTGTCAGTCACTCACTCACTTACTCATGCTATCAGTCACTAACTCACTCATGCTGTCAATCACTCACTCACTCATGCTGTCAGTCACTCACTCACTCATGCTGTCAGTCACTCACTCACTCATGCTGTCAGTCACTCACTCACTCACTCATGCTGTGAGTCACTCACTCACTCACTCGCTCATGCTGTCAGTCACTCACTCACTCATGCTGTCACTCAGTCACTCACTCATGCTGTCAGTCACTCACTCACTCATGCTGTCAGTCAGTCACTCACTCATGCTGTCAGTCACTCACTCACTCATGCTGTCAGTCACTTACTCATGCTGTCAGTCACTCACTCACTCATGCTGTCAGTCACTCACTCACTCACTCGTGCTGTCAGTCACTCACTCACTCACTCATGCTGTCAGTCACTCACTCACTCATGCTGTCAGTCACTCACTCACTCATGCTGTCAGTCACCCACTCACTCATGCTGTCAGTCACTCACTCACTCATGCTGTCAGTCACTCACTCACTCATGCTGTCAGTCACTCACTCACTCATGCTGTCAGTCACTCACCCACTCATGCTGTCAGTCACTCACTCACTCATGCTGTCAGTCACTCACTCACTCATGCTGTCAGTCACCCACTCACTCATGCTGTCAGTCACTCACTCACTCATGCTGTCAGTCACTCACTCACTCATGCTGTCAGTCACTCACTCACTCATGCTGTCAGTCACTCACTCACTCATGCTGTCAGTCACTCACCCACTCATGCTGTCAGTCACTCACTCACTCATGCTGTCAGTCACTCACTCACTCATGCTGTCAGTCACTCACTCACTCATGCTGTCAGTCACTCACTCAATCATGCTGTCAGTCACTCACTCACTCATGCTGTCACTCACTCACTCACTCATGCTGTGAGTCACTCACTCACTCATGCTGTCAGTCACTCACTCACTCATGCTGTCAGTCACTCACTCACTCACTCATGCTGGGAGTCACTCCCTCACTCTCTCATGCTGTCAGTCACTCACTCACTCATGCTGTCAGTCACTCACTCACTCATGCTGTCAGTCACTCACTCACTCATGCTGTCAGTCACTCACTCATGCTGTCAGTCACTCACTCACTCACTCATGCTGGGAGTCACTCCCTCACTCACTCATGCTGTCAGTCACTCTCTCATTCATGCTGTCAGTCACTCACCCACTCATGCTGTCAGTCACTCACTCACTCATGCTGTCAGTCACTCACTCACTCATGCTGTCAGTCACCCACTCACTCATGCTGTCAGTCACTCACTCACTCATGCTGTCAGTCACTCACTCACTCATGCTGTCAGTCACTCACTCACTCATGCTGTCAGACACTCACTCACTCATGCTGTCACTCACTCACTCACTCACTCATGCTATCAGTCACTCACTCACTCATGCTCTCAGTCACTCACTCATGCTGTCAGTCACTCACTCACTCATGCTGTGAGTCACTCACTCACTCACTCATGCTGGGAGTCACTCACTCACTCACTCATGCTGTGAGTCACTCACTCACTCACTCATGCTGTCAGTCACTCACCCACTCATGCTGTCAGTCACTCACTCACTCATGCTGTCAGTCACTCACTCACTCATGCTGTCAGACACTCACTCACTCATGCTGTCACTCACTCACTCACTCACTCATGCTATCAGTCACTCACTCACTCATGCTCTCAGTCACTCACTCATGCTGTCAGTCACTCACTCACTCATGCTGTGAGTCACTCACTCACTCACTCATGCTGGGAGTCACTCACTCACTCACTCATGATGTCAGTCACTCACTCTCTCATGCTGTCAGTCACTCACTCACTCATGCTGTCAGTCACTCACTCACTCATGCTGTCAGTCACTCACTCACTCACTCATGCTGTCACTCACTCACTCACTCATGCTGTCACTCACTCACTCACTCATGCTGTCAGTCACTCACTCACTCATGCTGTCAGTCACTCACTCACTCATGCTGTCAGTCACTCACTCACTTATGCTGTCAGTCACTCACTCACTCATGCTGTGAGTCACTCACTCACTCACTCGCTCATGCTGTCAGTCACTCACTCACTCATGCTGTCACTCACTCACTCACTCATGCTGTCAGTCACTCACTCACTCGTGCTGTCACTCACTCACTCACTCATGCTGTGAGTCACTCACTCACTCATGCTGTCAGTCACTCACTCACTCATGCTGTCAGTCACTCACTCACTCACTCATGCTGGGAGTCACTCCCTCACTCTCTCATGCTGTCAGTCACTCACTCACTCATGCTGTCAGTCACTCACTCACTCATGCTGTCAGTCACTCACTCACTCACTCATGCTGTCACTCACTCACTCACTCATGCTGTCACTCACTCACTCACTCATGCTGTCAGTCACTCACTCACTCATGCTGTCAGTCACTCACTCACTCATGCTGTCAGTCACCCACTCACTCATGCTGTCAGTCACTCACTCACTCATGCTGTCAGTCACTCACTCACTCATGCTGTCAGTCACTCACTCACTCATGCTGTCAGTCACTCACTCACTCATGCTGTCAGTCACTCACCCACTCATGCTGTCAGTCACTCACTCACTCATGCTGTCAGTCACTCACTCACTCATGCTGTCAGTCACTCACTCACTCATGCTGTCAGTCACTCACTCAATCATGCTGTCAGTCACTCACTCACTCATGCTGTCACTCACTCACTCACTCATGCTGTGAGTCACTCACTCACTCATGCTGTCAGTCACTCACTCACTCATGCTGTCAGTCACTCACTCACTCACTCATGCTGGGAGTCACTCCCTCACTCTCTCATGCTGTCAGTCACTCACTCACTCATGCTGTCAGTCACTCACTCACTCATGCTGTCAGTCACTCACTCACTCATGCTGTCAGTCACTCACTCATGCTGTCAGTCACTCACTCACTCACTCATGCTGGGAGTCACTCCCTCACTCACTCATGCTGTCAGTCACTCTCTCATTCATGCTGTCAGTCACTCACCCACTCATGCTGTCAGTCACTCACTCACTCATGCTGTCAGTCACTCACTCACTCATGCTGTCAGTCACCCACTCACTCATGCGGTCAGTCACTCACTCACTCATGCTGTCAGTCACTCACTCACTCATGCTGTCAGTCACTCACTCACTCATGCTGTCAGTCACTCACTCACTCATGCTGTCAGTCACTCACCCACTCATGCTGTCAGTCACTCACTCACTCATGCTGTCAGTCACTCACTCACTCATGCTGTCAGACACTCACTCACTCATGCTGTCACTCACTCACTCACTCACTCATGCTATCAGTCACTCACTCACTCATGCTCTCAGTCACTCACTCATGCTGTCAGTCACTCACTCACTCATGCTGTGAGTCACTCACTCACTCACTCATGCTGGGAGTCACTCACTCACTCACTCATGATGTCAGTCACTCACTCTCTCATGCTGTCAGTCACTCACTCACTCATGCTGTCAGTCACTCACTCACTCATGCTGTCAGTCACTCACTCTCTCACTCATGCTGTCACTCACTCACTCACTCATGCTGTCACTCACTCACTCACTCATGCTGTCAGTCACTCACTCACTCATGCTGTCAGTCACTCACTCACTCATGCTGTCAGTCACTCACTCACTTATGCTGTCAGTCACTCACTCACTCATGCTGTGAGTCACTCACTCACTCACTCGCTCATGCTGTCAGTCACTCACTCACTCATGCTGTCACTCACTCACTCACTCATGCTGTCAGTCACTCACTCACTCGTGCTGTCACTCACTCACTCAGTATGCTGTGAGTCACTCACTCACTCATGCTGTCAGTCACTCACTCACTCATGCTGTCAGTCACTCACTCACTCACTCATGCTGGGAGTCACTCCATCACTCTCTCATGCTGTCAGTCACTCACTCACTCATGCTGTCAGTCACTCACTCACTCATGCTGTCAGTCACTCACTCACTCACTCATGCTGTCACTCACTCACTCACTCATGCTGTCACTCACTCACTCACTCATGCTGTCAGTCACTCACTCACTCATGCTGTCAGTCACTCACTCACTCATGCTGTCAGTCACTCACTCACTTATGCTGTCAGTCACTCACTCACTCATGCTGTGAGTCACTCACTCACTCACTCGCTCATGCTGTCAGTCACTCACTCACTCATGCTGTCACTCACTCACTCACTCATGCTGTCAGTCACTCACTCACTCATGCTGTCAGTCAGTCACTCACTCATGCTGTCAGTCACTCACTCACTCATGCTGTCAGTCACTTACTCACTCATGCTGTCAGTCACTCACTCACTCATGCTGTCAGTCACTCACTCACTCACTCATGCTGTCAGTCACTCACTCACTCTCTCATGCTGTCAGTCACTCACTCACTCATGCTGTCAGTCACTCACTCACTCATGCTGTCAGTCACTCACTCACTCATGCTGTCAGTCACTCACTCACTCATGCTGTCAGTCACTCACTCACTCACTCATGCTGGGAGTCACTCTCTCACTCACTCATGCTGTCAGTCACTCTCTCACTCATGCTGTCAGTCACTCACTCACTCATGCTGTCAGTCACTCACTCACTCATGCTGTCAGTCACTCACTCACTCTCTCATGCTGTCAGTCACTCACTCACTCATGCTGTCAGTCACTCACTCACTCATGCTGTCAGTCACTCACTCACTCATGCTGTCAGTCACTCACTCACTCACTCATGCTGTGAGTCACTCACTCACTCACTCGCTCATGCTGTCAGTCACTCACTCACTCATGCTGTCACTCAGTCACTCACTCATGCTGTCAGTCACTCACTCACTCATGCTGTCAGTCAGTCACTCACTCATGCTGTCAGTCACTCACTCACTCATGCTGTCAGTCACTTACTCACTCATGCTGTCAGTCACTCACTCACTCATGCTGTCAGTCACTCACTCACTCACTCATGCTGTCAGTCACTCACTCACTCACTCATGCTGTCAGTCACTCACTCACTCATGCTGTCAGTCACTCACTCACTCATGCTGTCAGTCACTCACTCACTCATGCTGTCAGTCACCCACTCACTCATGCTGTCAGTCACTCACTCACTCATGCTGTCAGTCACTCACTCACTCATGCTGTCAGTCACTCACTCACTCATGCTGTCAGTCACTCACTCACTCATGCTGTCAGTCATTCACTCACTCATGCTGTCAGACACTCACTCACTCATGCTGTCACTCACTCACTCACTCACTCATGCTATCAGTCACTCACTCACTCATGCTCTCAGTCACTCACTCACTCATGCTGTCAGTCACTCACTCACTCATGCTGTGAGTCACTCACTCACTCACTCATGCTGGGAGTCACTCACTCACTCACTCATGATGTCAGTCACTCACTCTCTCATGCTGTCAGTCACTCACTCACTCATGCTGTCAGTCACTCACTCACTCATGCTGTCAGACACTCACTCACTCATGCTGTCACTCACTCACTCACTCACTCATGCTATCAGTCACTCACTCACTCATGCTCTCAGTCACTCACTCACTCATGCTGTCAGTCACTCTCTCACTCATGCTGTCAGTCACTCACTCACTCATGCTGTCAGTCACTCACTCACTCACTCATGCTGTCAGTCACTCACTCACTCATGCTGTCAGTCACTCACTCACTCATGCTGTCAGTCACTCACTCACTCATGCTGTCAGTCACTCACTCACTCACTCATGCTGTGAGTCACTCACTCACTCACTCGCTCATGCTGTCAGTCACTCACTCACTCATGCTGTCACTCAGTCACTCACTCATGCTGTCAGTCACTCACTCACTCATGCTGTCAGTCAGTCACTCACTCATGCTGTCAGTCACTCACTCACTCATGCTGTCAGTCACTTACTCACTCATGCTGTCAGTCACTCACTCACTCATGCTGTCAGTCACTCACTCACTCATGCTGTCAGTCACTCACTCACTCATGCTGTCAGTCACTCACTCACTCATGCTGTCAGTCACTCACTCACTCATGCTGTCAGTCACTCACTCACTCATGCTGTCAGTCACTCACTCACTCATGCTGTCAGTCACTCACTCACTCATGCTGTCAGTCACTCACCCACTCATGCTGTCAGTCACTCACTCACTCATGCTGTCAGTCACTCACTCAATCATGCTGTCAGTCACTCACTCACTCATGCTGTCACTCACTCACTCACTCATGCTGTGAGTCACTCACTCACTCATGCTGTGAGTCACTCACTCACTCATGCTGTGAGTCACTCACTCACTCATGCTGTGAGTCACTCAGTCACTCATGCTGTGCCATCCAGCACCACTGGGTTGCACCGTGCAATGCCTTCTCTGACTCTCCTCCCTTCCCCAGCTCCGCCCACACCTTGGAAGTCAACTGGACTCGCCCCGTCTCTGTGTTCAACCATCCCAACCTAACACCTCTGGTTCAATCCAATCATGGGTGAACTTCACTCATACACCATCCACGAGAGCAAGCCAGCCGTGTGTTTGCACTGCCCCTTGCCTCTGGCCCCACCTCCTCTTCTCCCCACTCCTCCTCCCCAACCCCTTTTTCCGGCAGGTGGAGAAGCAGTTCCCTGGGGAGGCGGGCGGGGAGGTGCGGCAGCATCTGGTGGGCATCTGCGCGGCGCTGTGTCGCACGGTGCGGGGCACCATCGCTGACTTCCAGCACATCGTGCTCCACGACCCCACTCCGCCACCCGCCCCCACCCCCCGCCCCTCCCTCCCCTCCTGCTCCTCCACCTCCTCCTCCTCCTCAGCCCCCTTCCCCCCTCCTCCTCCTTTGGTTTCAGCCTCTGGCCATGAGGGGGGCGAGGATAGGAAGGGGGAGGAGGGCGGGGAGGGGAATGGGGAGGAGGATGTGGACTGGAGCCACAGATCGGATTCCAGCCATCGATCTCACCACGGGGGCGGTGGGTTGCACAGTCGGACGGTGAGCGGCAGCGCGTCGAGCGGGAGGGGCATTTTGGGGGGCCTGCTGCCGAAGAAGGTCAGCAAGGGGCATGAGGAGGGCAAGGGCGAGGCACGGGGGAAGAGCAAGGCGGAGGGCAAGGAAGGTGGGGGGTCGGCGGGGCAGGAGGTGGTTGTGAGGGGCAGTCCAGACGTGCACCCGCTGACAAGCTACGTGGTGAACTTCATCCTCCTCTACTTCGACGAGTGCGTGGCCCTACCCTCATGTCCTGCCATTTGTATCCATGCCCTGCACTGTGAGTCAATGCGTATCACCTCAGAGTGGGTAGTGTGTTTTATGTTCTGCAATGATTTTAATACACACCCTAAGCGCTTGGGAATAGATTGATGGAGGAAGCTGGCATGAGCATAAGCTGGCCAGCTGTGTGATCAGCTTCATCTGCTCCCCATGCACCAGTAAGGATCACCATCTTCATCTCTACTGCCGAAGGCGCCTTACGTGAAGCCACCCATCCTACTGCTATTCTTCCCCCCGCCCCTCCCAATGTGACCTGTGTGTGTGTGCCGTGCCCCACAGGACGCTGTACCTGGGCACGCTGCTGCTGGTGTACGACGAGGGGGGCGACCAGCACGAGGGCGCCGTGCGATTGGGCGCCGCCACGCGCCACCTGCTGGCGGCGCTCAAGGCGAATCTGGAGCGCAAGGGAGACGCGTTCCACGATGAGGCGATGCGCGCCGTGTTCCTCATGAACAACTGCGAGTACATCCAGCGCAAGGTGGAGGAGTGAGTCCATCCAGCGCAAGGTGGAGGAGTGAGTACATCCAGCGCAAGGTGGAGGAGTGAGTACATCCAGCGCAAGGTGGAGGAGTGAGTACATCCAGCGCAAGGTGGAGGAGTGAGTACATCCAGCGCAAGGTGGAGGAGTGAGTCCATCCAGCGCAAGGTGGAGGAGTGAGTACATCCAGCGCAAGGTGGAGGAGTGAGTACATCCAGCGCAAGGTGGAGGAGTGAGTACATCCAGCGCAAGGTGGAGGAGTGAGTACATCCAGCGCAAGGTGGAGAAGTGAGTACATCCAGCGCAAGGTGGAGAAGTGAGTCACTCATTGTGCTTTTGCCCTCTTTCTTTTGTTTATTTATTATTCTAGATCTCACCACTATTAATGTTACTGCTGCGGCTGTTGCTGCTGTCGCCGCCACCACCGTCGCTGCCGCCGCTGCTGTTGCTGTTGCTGTTATTATCTCATGACTGTTGGTGGTATTAGTGATCCTTTTGCAGAAATGAGGTGTTTTTATGGGCGTGTGATTGACTGTGAATGCAGCTAGAATAAGGCTGATTGCGTGTGATGTGATGTGCTGTGCATGGCAGGCAGCATGTGAAGATGATCCTTGGGCGGGCGTGGGTGGATGAAAACGCCAAGGACCTTGAGAAGCACCGAGACATCTACATTCGATGTATTGTGAATAAGGTGAGACATCTACATTCGATGTATTGTGAACAGGGTTGGAACACAACAAATTTCGTTGATTGGTTCTTTTTTAAACTTGCAAATCTCACGAATAGTCAAATCATCAAAGCTCAACACGATTCAGCTAGAACGGCATCCCCACCACTCACATCGGACCATCAGTTTGGCAGGACGGCACCCATATCATCAATGGCTCACGCCGCTTTCTTCGCCACTTCATACTGTCAAACATTCTATTCGCTGCAAGCTCAAATCGACCTCCTTTCTCCATTGGAGGACATCCAAGCTGATGCAGAGTTTTCATTCAGCCATACAACCGTTCGACGGTCCTAACCAACACCCCATCAGGTGGCCACCGCTTGATCGGGTCATGGAGTGGACGTGCAAGCGTTCATGACTTGCAGTCTTCAGATGCGCGTTGAATTTCTCACAGCACACCAATGCGCACCATCAATGCCCATGCTTGTCCCCCCACCACCCCCCCCGCCAGGTGGCGGGCGTGCTGTCGGACCACCGGGGTGACGTGGCGGCGTTCACAAAGCGAGTGCAGGCGCTGCACGCGCTGCTGGAGGGCGTGCATGCACAGCAGAGTGGGTGGAGCATCGGGAATGCCGACCTGCGTGCGTTCGTGCGGGGGGAGGTGGCCTCGCAGGTGCTGCTCAGATACTCCGACTTCCTCGACCGCCACAGGTACGCTCCATGCCACTCCCACTCCCACTCCCACTCCCACTCCCACTCCCACTCCCAATCCCACTCCCACTCCCACTCACTCCCACTCCCACTCCCTCCCCGTGTTGCTGTGCGCTGGAGGGGACTCCCAGTCCCGTGTTGCGGTGCTGTTGAGGCAGTGGAGGGCGCGTGCTGAGGGATGTGGTGGAGGTGGGGTAGTGAGGCATGTGGGGAGAAGGGAGGGAGAAGCAGCAAGAAGGGGAGGCAGTGAGGAATCAAGAGGGATGATGTTGGGAGAAATCGAGGTGAAGGGGTGCAAGAGAAGAGTGTGTTCGTTGATGGGATGGAAGAAAATGGTGGGTTGTCCTGTAGCCACTCGCAACATACATGCCACATGCATGCCACACACATGTCGACACTCACACCACACACGTGCAATAAACATGCCTTATGCCACGCCGGGCTTCCATCTCACGGCATGTGGCTTTTTCCGTGTGGCTTGGCATGACGCGTTGGTTCGGCTCGATGTGGCATGGCATGGCAGGTCTATAGTGGAGAGCCGAGCGTGCAAGGTGCGAGTGCTGACACGGCAGGAGGTGCATGCGTGGCTGACGGAGATATTCGACATGAAGAAGCATGGATGAGGTGTGCCATGCCTCAGGGAGGGTGATGAAAACACCAGAGGTGTCTTAGTGCTGTAACATAACATCCTAGCATCAGATAGGCTACAGGGTGGAATGAGTCAATGTTCGATGTTCTGCCTTACCAGGACAAGGCAAACACAATGATGGTCGTGCGGAGCAGTGACCGGTATGGCAATACATCTTTCCTGCCTGCATTGTGTTCTAAAGCAGGTGCTTCAATGTGCCGAAGTATGTAACAACACTTCCAGGCCTGAGAAATTGATTAGTAACCAAATGAATTGACTAAGATAGGGGTAATCTGTGCATTCCACCTGCTTACACAACTGTTTAGATACAATTACCGGTAGGAAAAAACACACAACGTACCACTTTCAAAAGGATATGCACTAGTACGTAGGGTCTTCTCCCAGTAAGGCTCACAACAAACTGATGTGCGGCTCAGCTCATCTCAGCTCAGCTCAGCTCAGCTCAGGTCAGGTCAGGTTTTCTATAGATACCGTATAAGTGAGTGGCTACTCCCTCACTATTGGACGACAACGGCCACTTTCATGTTCATCCCACAGTGGCCGTACACTTGGCAGCCGAATTACAGCGTGCTGCCCCGTGCCGTCGCCGGCACTGTGAACCTGAAAGGGGAGCCAAGCCGGGCAAAGAGAGACATCAGAAGCGCTAGGGTGCTATTTGGAAACAAGCGTGAGGCAAGGCGACACCAGGGTGTCGGCAAGGAAGGCGGACACAAGTGGTGCTCACTTGTACGTCTTGCCAAGGGCCATGTGTGCCTTCTCTTTGGCACCGCTGAAGTCACAGCTCAGGTAGGCAGCAGCGCTGCTCATCTGCCACACGTCGTGGTAACCCGTCCACTTGAACACTGCACAGCACGCCGCGCGGACATGGGATGCAGGGCGCACAGGTAATGTGTGATTTGCGGAAATATTGGAGTCAATGCGAGACAAGGGAGAGCAAGGAGCGGTCATTAAGGCAAGGTGGTCAACTTAGGGTAGAACAATAGGGCGAGCTAAAGAGCACAAGGGGTATGCAACCAGCATTGAAGACGCTCACCCCGTACGCCCACCCCTTGTTGCCGCCCACTACGATCTCACGCGCCTGCGCTCGTGGGGCAGCATGCATGCACATGGGGCGCGCATCATGATACACAAGCATGCTTGCAGGATTCATGGAGCTGAATTGCACGCATGTGAGCCAAGGGCACTGTCTGACTCGGGACGGAAGCGGGGAAATGGGCGAGGAAAGGGCGGGCGCGGGAAGAGCAGGCGAGAGGAAGCGGGAGGACAAGTGAATCAGCAAGTGCAGCGCTGAGACTCCAACTGTTTACGTGCCGAGGAGGGCAGTGCGGGAGGAAAAGCGCGGGCTGCACGTGCAAGTGATGGCAAGGAAAATCAGGCGGGGCAACGTATGGAGAGGAAGGGCGAAGGACGAGGGGCGAGGGGCGAGGGGCGTATCTCTGCGTGAGTTGTGGCTGAGGAGCAGATGATCCGACGGCAGGGGCGATCATGATAGAACGCAGTACACAGCAAGGCGAGGGGGAGCCCACGACGCGATCGGCGGACGCGAGAGAAGCGCAGGGCGTGTGGGACATCAGAAGAATGTGAAGGAAGCATCGGGTTGTAAACGCCGATTTGCTTGGCATATACTACGTGCGGACTGTGGTTTCTCCCCACCCCAATAAACGACCAGGGGTATTGCGCGATGTACGTTGAAAACAGAGGGGGGTCATGATCACCGTTTACGCGCGAAAATTGTGCTACAGTGACCTAGTGTGCATTGCCATACATTCCGATAAGTTGCCTAGTACCCCCACTTACGACCGAGTAGTATCGAGTCTTCGATTTCCACCTACCCTAGTTTACTTTGACATCCCGCGCATCAACCGTGGTTGGTTTCGCTTTACCATCGCGTCATCAGCTGAGGCGAAAAAAGAAGGGAGAACTAGTTACCAGTGTGTTACACGTAACAAATTCAATTACCTCTCGCGTATTCGGGAACTTCTTCACTTATGATTTATATGTCTGAATTGTGCTATTAACCTGGTAACATGATTTGTTACAGAGTTCAAATATGATCTGGTTACGAATCCACCGGATGGTAACACGGTTGCATTTACTAATAGATAAAATAAATATATCTCGAAAGCGGTTTCACTAATAATTAATATAGAAGATTAATTTATTAAATTATGTCATTCATTAGGAATCAGAAACGACCTACACACATACACACCTACATACCTGCAGAAAACGACTACAGAAATGCACGCTCCCATCCTTCAATCAGAATCGCACCTTCCCTGAACCCAACACAAAACCCTTAGGTTCATCACGTTTCAAGCAGGTGGGATTGTTCAGCACCTGTCAAATCATATGTTTATTGTTTAGTTAGGCTGTATTGGGGCTAGTTTTAGGGGGTACACAGTTTCTCTCGACATTCTAGTCTTGTACCCACCTTGACCTAATTCAATCACCTTTTGCCTAGGTATCTTAACATGGCATCTAGAGCAGGTTCTTAGGACCTAAGAGATTAAGGGCCCACCCGTTACCGTGTTACCAACTGCCTGCCTGTTAGCCTTGTCTCCTGACCGCGCGCGCCTCGGCTGCGCGCGCGCGTAGCCTTTTTTTTTTAGCGCGCGCGCTACTGCTGCCAGCCGCGTCGCGCCCCGCACGTCGCCCGCGCAGCCCGCCCTGAGCCCGCGCGGCCCCAGGCACGGCCCGCAGCTGCCCCTCGCACGCTCGCGCAGCCCACGCCGAGCCAGCGCAGCCCGCCCGCGCAGCCAGCGCGCAGACCGCGCACCGCCCGCGCACAGCCTGCGCACCGCCCGCGCATCGCCCGCGCACCGCCCGCGCACCGCCCGCATTGCGCCCTGCCAGCCCGCGAGTGGCCTGCCGCCTCGCCCTGCGCAAGCCGCCGCCCGTGTGCCACGCGTCCGCTCTAGCCGCGCGCCGCCCGTCTTGCACCTGCCTGCCGTGCACCTTGCCTGCCTTGCACCTTGTCTGCCTTGCGCCTTGCCTGCCTTGCGCCTTGCCTGAGGTGCGCCTGCCTACCTTACGCCTGCCTGCCTTGCGTTTTGCCTGAAGTGCACCGGCCTGCTTTGCGCCTGCCTGCCTGTAGTGCGCCTGCCTGCCTTGCGCCTGCCTGTCTTGCACCAACGCTGCCATCATGGCGACTCTTAACGTTCTCGCATTCGAGCCTGACGGTCGCCCAATAGAATTTGCCACTTGGCTTGACGATCTGCAGCTGTTTCTCATGACGGATGCCAAAGACGGCGTTTCTCTGTTCGATCACGCGTCTGGCACTACCCATGCTCCTGCTAACAGTGCTACTGCTCTCGACCGCTCACAGTGGCAGACTCGCGATGCTGCTGCGCGCCTCGCTATCCGCAACCACCTGCCGATCACTGAGCGCGCGCATTTTAGTCAGCACAAGACTGCTAAGGCGCTGTACGACGCAGTAGTTGCGCGCTATTCCTCCCCAGCCACTGCACCCGTAGGACGCCTCATCCTGCCCTACCTGTTCCCCGACCTGTCCTCGTTTACCACCGCTGAGGACCTCATCTCTCACCTCCGCGTTAGTGACTCCCGCTTTCGTGCCGCGCTTACCGACGAGTTCCTCGCCACGAACACCCCACCGCTGTACTTTACCCTCTACATCCTCGTCACTCGCCTCCCTGACACTCTTAGCTCGGTCAGGGACCATTTCCTCGCCAAGGATCCTACCACTATCACTCTAGCCGACTTCGAGCAGCAGCTCCTAGCAGCAGAGAAGAACATCCTCGCAGTAGGTGCTGCCCGTGGCACTCCACGCACTCCCCTCTTTGAGGGGTGCTCCCCCTCCCCTCTTGCCCCCTCCTACGCCTCAGCTGCTGCTGCAGTCGACCTCCTCGGTGCTGAGAAGGTTGCAGCGGCTTCCGCTCCTGTTGGGAAGCGCGGCAGTGGCAGGGGCGGCAAGGGTGGCAGGGGTGGTGGCGGTGGCGGTGGAGGGAGCGGTGGTGGAGGCGGCGGGGGTGGTGGCGGTGGTGGGGGTGGTCGTGGGGGTGGAGGAGGTGGGTGGGGCGGCGGTGGAACCGGGAGTGGTGGAGGTGGCAGCGGAGGTAGTGGGGGAGGAGGCAGTGGTGGTGGCGGTGGAGGTGGGGGCGGGAGTGGGACCGGCCAGAAGGGGAGTTCCAGTGGGGGCCAGCAGCAGCAGCAGCAGCGCCCGACCCCCTCTTCTCAGCAGCTCCATGACTGGTATGCCGGGCGTGGGGCGTCTGGGGGTCCTGGTCGCTGCCCCTATGTCGTTCTCGCTGGTCCCCGTAAGGGTCGCCCATGCAACGGCTTTCACACTGAGTACCGCTGCTTCGCTAGGCTCAGCGACGCCTGGCGCGCCAAGTTTCCTGATGCTGCTGAATTCCCCAACTGGGCAGATATGCTTAGGCGTGATGTACCTATATTTGATCTTGACTATGATGCAATCCTTGCTGCCATGTATGCATTGACTGTTAGTGCTGAGGGTGATTGCTACTTGTGTGTGCCGCCTGACCCCGGTATAGACCCAGGTATAGCGCCTACAACCCTAGGTGCTAGTGAGTCTGCTCTCCCTGGTACTGCGTCCGCTCAGGCCTTGCACACCTTTACACTTGACTCTGGTGCTTCCCGCTGTTTCTTTCGCGACGGCACCACAGTCACTCCCCTTCGTCGGCCTGTCCCTGTCTCACTGGCTGACCCCTCTGGGGGCCCAGTGCTTGCACGGTCCATCACTGTGCTTCCGTGCCCGGCGGTCCCGTCTGGTGAGCTGTCAGGTCTCCACCTCCCCTCGTTCTCTACGAACCTGGTGAGCAACGCCGTCCTTCAGGATCACTGGGTTGACACCTTTACTCCTGGAGGACAGCGTGTGGCGATCTGCACGTGCTCCCGGACAGGCCGCCACCTGGCCACGTTCACACGTGCGCCTGGGTCCAGTCTGTACACCCTCACCACTGCGTCACGCTACACCCCGTTGTCTCCCCAGCT